AAATGAACCACCTTGTGTTCATTAGTGTGCTTAATTTTCAATCTTTAAATCCACTTTTTTTGTAAAACTACGTGCTGTAAACAAACTAAAACAATTGAGCTTTCTTATTTTTCTGCCAGTTTTGTGTTTATTTCATATTATCTGAGTGCTCGGCGATGACAATGGAATTTTTAACAATCAAAATAAAAATTGAAGAAAAAAATTGAATTAAAAGACAAAAAAGGTTGAATTTAGAAAATAAAAAGTTACCTCCAAGGTACCCATGGGTTCCCTAAAAAAATCTGCCAATTTTGTTCAGCCGTTTGGCCAGTTATAGCTAACATATATACATACAAATATATATATATGAGCGATCAGAGCTTTATTATATATAAAGGATTTAAAAAGAACCTGTTCATCAAAAAGACATTTTATTTAATCTGTAGTTATATCAATAATAATGATGTTGTAAAAATACGATTAAGAAAAAACTTAATGTTGATATGTAAAAAAACAGAATAATAATTTTTATCAACTCTGTTATAAGTCTCATCCGTAGACGGAGACGGTAACACTGTATTTTTGTGTTTGTGTATAAATAAATTTTAGAAAAATTAGGAAGAAATTAACAATTATGTTAAATTAAAATTTCTATTTAAAAGCTTCCAAGAGAATTCACATTTTTGAAGTATACACCCAGCTTTCTGTTTTAATTAAAATTTTAAACTTAAACAAATTTTAAATTTGAACAAGATATTTAGTTTATTTTATTCTCAAAACTTGAAACCTAGAGAAAATGAATCTCATTCCTGCTTTCTGTGATACTGAGGTTTGCGGAAAGTTTTCTAGTTTAGCTTTGAAATACTGTAATACAACAAATTTATAATTCCGTTATATCAGTGCACCTGATCGCTTAACACATTTTCTACTACATGTAATAAAAATACGTTTGATTACAAATACAGATATGATGCTATTATATCGATTGGACTAATATCCGATTGAACTAAAAAACATATTTTGTTACATTTTTGGACTGTAGTCCTTTTAATGTTAGTCTAAAGAAACATTAATTCAAAACTTACGTTCGTTCAATCGAACATTAGTTCAATTGATATGACACAACAAATGCGGAAAAATTAAAAACCGGTTTTTCAAAAGTTAAAGAACGCATCTCAAAACTCTCGAAATTAATCTAATGACTAAATTAGTCTTGAGATTAACAAAAAGAGAGGATCAAGTATTAATCTCGATATCCACCATTCTTAAGTTTTCAGCTCGGATTAATTAGTCTTTCAGATCAATTGCACTGCACATGTTCATCGAAGCACTCTGTACTATATCCGGAGTTAGATGAGATTGAAGCATTCTGTACTCTAACCAGGAGTTAAAGGAGTTTGGAGCACTCTGTACTCTAACCTGGAGTTAAAGGAGTTTGAAACACTCTGTACTCTAACCTGGAGTTAAAGGAGTTTGAAGCACTCTGTACTATATCCTGGAGTTAAAGGAGTTTGAAGCACTCTGTACTATATCCTGGAGTTAAAGAAGTTTGAAGCACTCTGTACTCTATCCTGGAGTTAAATGAGTTTAAAGCACTCTGTACTCTAACCTGGAGTGAAAGGAGTTTGAAGCACTCTGTACTATATCCTGGAGTTAAAGAAGTTTGAAGCACTCTGTACTTTATCCTGGAGTGAAAGGAGTTTGAAGCACTCTGTACCATATCCTGGAGTTAAAGGAGTTTGAAGCACTCTGTACTATATCCTGGAGTTAAAGGAGTTTGAAGCACTCTGTACTCTAACCTGGAGTTGCTTGATCAATAAACTACTATGAAGGTCACATGGAACAGTTCCTGTCTTTTACTCAACCCAAGCTCATCATATCCGGGATATAATTAAGATAGCTAAGTTATGCTAAAATCTATTCAGATTTTGTGTATACTAAATTGTGGACATATTAAGATCTAGGATTTTTGAAGGTCAAGGTTATAACTATCTATGTACGATGTACATACATATATATTAACTATACATCATTCCTCCATGTATTAGAATACAATTTTATAAAAACAATATTTAAACGTATTATTTAAAGATTGAATGTGCCCACCCAAGAGAATATATTGGTCTATGGAGTTTAATATGAGTTGAGAGGGTTGGTAAAACTTGATAATTAATCTTATAATGCAGTCTCGGCAGGAACCATGTTATTATATCGGCAACTAATTCAAGTTTACTATTCTCAAACTCATCCAACCCACTTGCTTTGTAGGGTATTTAAGGTAGTTGGTTAATAGGATTAGATCAGGATAAAGTAGGATAAAGGATGAGATCAGGATAGAGTAGGTTTAAAGAATTAGATCAGGATAGAGTAGGGTTAAAGAATTAGATCAGGATAGAGTAGGTTTAAAGAATTAGATCAGGATAGAGTAGGTTTTAAGAATTAGATCAGGATAGAGTAGGTTTAAAGAATTAGATCAGGATAGAGAAAGTAAAAAGGATTAGATCATGATAGAGTGGGACTAGATATAAAGGATTAGATCAGGATAGATTAGGTGTAAAGGATTAGATCAGGAGTAGGAATAAGGGATTAGATTAGAGAAGAGGATGTATAAAGGATTATATCATGATACAGTAGGTATAAAGGATTATGTCAGGATTGAGTAGGCATATAGGATTAGATCAGTATAGAGTAGGTATAAAAGATTAGATCAGAGTAAAGTAGGTACAAAGGATTATATCAGAGTTAAGTAGGTATAAAGGATTAGATCAGAGTAGACTAGNTTACGGATCAGGATAGGGTCCGGTCTAGCTTTGTTAAGACTTTCCGATGAAGTAAAGAATTTTATTTTATGTTTTGATCGCAAAATAAAATGTTTATAAAACGTTCTTTACATATTCTTGAATTGTTATAAATATCTTATACTTCATATTTTATACTTTAAACTTTAAACTATAAATACTTCATACTTTATACTTTATATTTTATACTTTAAACTATAAATACTTCATACTTTATATTTTATGTTTTATACTTTATTCTCTATACTTTATACTTTATACTTTATGCTTTATACTTTATTCTTGATACTTTATATCTACTTTACTATTCTAACTTATTCCTATTCTTCCTTTCTTTTCTCACTGAGAGAAATATTATTGGATGAAAGCGTATTCATTAATTATTCAGAATTTCAGCATTAAGAAGACCCTGCTCCGGGTTATAAATGAAATACTAAAATAACGGTTCTCCTTGTACTCCCACTAGTATCCGGAGCTATAAACCTGCCTGAACTGTAAATGTTGGCCTAAATTAAACTTGATCGACTAAATAACAAAATCATCGGGAGTGGCCTTATTAGTAGAAGATTTATTGTTAATTACTAAAAATGTGTCGTGAAAAGCAAATATTTTGAAAAATGTCTTTGCATTTTTTCAAGAAAAAGATGTTCTTTAATGAAAATCCTTTTACTAAAAAGTTTGTCCAGGGAGAGCTGTGTAATTATAGTTGGTGAAATATTGAAAATAACAGGTTCTAAACCAAACCTTTCAGTTTGCTGATCAATAGAAATCATTAGTATTCAAAACTTTTTAGCTCTAATAATCCTGCATTTACGGTTTACAAGAATACAACATAAATTTGTCATAGAAAGTTTATACCATAGGAAAAATACTGATTTTTACACGAATTCGTGATACAAGCATATAATTTGTTTTATACATGAATACAAGTCTATGGGTTGTTTTATACATGAATACAAGTTTATGGGTTGTCTTATACATGGATACAAGCCTTTACTTTGTTTTATAAAAGGAATACAAGTCTAAGGTTTGTTTTATAAACGGATACAAGTCTATGGGTTGTTTTATACAGGGATACAAGTCTATGGATTGTTTAATACAGGGATACAAGTCAATGCGTTGTTTTATACATGTATACACGTCTATGTATTGTTTTATACATGGATACCAGTCTTTGGGTTGTTTTATAAAGGGATACAAGTCTATGGTTTGTTTTATACATGGATACCAGTCTATGGGTTGTTTTATACAGGGATCCAAGTCTATGGGGGTTTTTATACAGGGATACAAGTCTATGGATATTTTTAGATATTAATTGTATACAAGCTAATTTTAGATATTACGAGGATACAATTGAGCTTTAAATATTAAAAGAATGCAAGATAGCTTTTAGTATTACAAGTTTACAAGATAGTTTTAAATATTACAAGGATACACGTTATTTGTTAGTATTACAAGGATACAAGCTAATTTTAAATATTACAAGGATACAAGCTAGTTTTAAATATTACAAGGATACAAGCTAATTTTAAATATTACAAGGATACAAGCTAGTTTTAAATATTACAAGGATACAAGCTAATTTTAAATATTACAAAAATAAAAGCTAATTTTATATATTACAAGGATACAAGCTAATTTTAAATATTACAAAGATACAAGCTAATTTTAAATATTACAAGGATACAAGCTAGTTTAAAATATTACAAGGATACAAGCTAGTTTAAAATATTACAAAGATACAAGCTAGTTTTAAATATTATAAGGGTACAAGCTAGTTTAAAATATTACAAGGATACAAGCTAGTTTAAAATATTACAAGGATACAAGCTAGTTTAAAATATTACAAAGATACAAGCTAGTTTTAAATATTATAAGGGTACAAGCTAGTTTAAAATATTACAAGGATACAAGCTAGTTTAAAATATTACAAGGATACAAGCTAGTTTAAAATATTACAAAGATACAAGCTAGTTTTAAATATTATAAGGATACAAGATAGTTTTAAATATTACAAAGATACAAGCTAGTTTTAAATATTACAAGGATACAAGCTAGTTTTAAATATTTCTCCATTTTTATTTTGTTCCTATTTTCTTTGTTTATAATAGTTTGTTGTTTGTGTTGTATAATGTATTTGCCTGCATTGGACTTGTGAAACTTTTCTGAATAATGATTTTCTATTTCTTATTCTAACTGCATTTAGTTATATCTAGACAATGTACAATAATGTCTTCCAGCTCCGAGCTAAACACTAGATCCAATAAAAAGAAGGAGTTGGAGAATACCGGAGATGTTTCGGAGATCCAGGATAAAATAAACCCAGATGAGGAGACAGAGAACCTTGAGCAGATTGAAGGGAAGGGTGAGGATACAGAGAACCCTGAGAAGGTTGAAGGAAAGGATGAGATTGATTGCAGCGAGGATGAACCAATAGATTCTTTAAATGATAGTTTAATTGAAGGCTTTTCTGACTCTCTCCGAGGGGGAGAAAACAAGGTTCGGTTAATCAAGGATAGAGAAGATGAGAATACATCCAACAGTGGAGAGAGCTCTGATATATCCCTGGACAATGATAGAAGGTTGGGAGAGTGGAGGAGTAAGGCCGACCACATAGTTTCTACATCCAAACCATATTCTCCGTTTCTTTAAAAATCCGACTACGTTACAGCATACGCTGAGGTTCTAATCTAATTCATAAAACAATTTGGGCCAAGTTTAGTGTAGGCCTTAATGTGGGCGGATTTATATAAAAAAGGCAACAATTTCCTAAATTTTACCATTTCAAAGAGAAAAGAGGAAAAGATAAAGTTTCAGAGGTGGTTCAGTAAGAAAATGATGAGAATGTGGTTCGGATGTAGAAATGATATGGTTAGCTTTCCTCCCCTCGTCGGAATAACATAAAACAAATTGGTAAATATCATGTCTTGTATTCAGACGTCGGGAAAGACAGGATTCTTTTGTTATAAAACAATTCCCAATCTTACATATTATGAACGTAAGACTTGTATTTATTTTACAAGAAAAGCAAGAAAACGCCTCGTTTCAGATCAAAGACGACAAAACTGACGCCATCGTTTCTTTGCAAAAAGGTTCAAAGATTGTAGTGTGAAGCGTTTATTGCAATATTTAATCAAATTATTATCAAATTATTACTTTTATAAAATGGATTAATAAAAATGTTTCTCCGAATGTACGGTACATTTCCATCTTGATTTCCCTCAAATATATAAAGTAAACTTTTCCATCTTGATTTCCCTCAAATATATAAAGTAAACTTTTCCATCTTAATTTCCCTCAAATATATAAAGTAAACTTTTCCTAAATGATTATTTAACAAGAACATTTCTGGAAGATCAATCTGAGAAATTTTACATTGGGATCCATGCTGTTTGGGAAAATGCATTTGGGAAATTGTCATTATTGAAAATGCCAATGGAAATGTACATACTTCCTTTGTTCTCAGGACGAAGTTGAAAAACTCTATAGTTGAAGAGGAGAGAGATAGTTCTAGCTCCGGAGAGCAGGAGGAGGAGTTTGATTTTGATGAGGAGGATGAAGTAATGGAGGTTGTGGTTGAACAAAGTGATGTCGAGGACGATGATGATGAGGATGATGATGATGATGATGTTGTACTGGGCGGGCAGCGTAGGCAGGATATACAGGGTCGAAGATTCTCTCAATCCTCAGATGAAAGTGAATCAACTGTAGCTGATGTAGGGATGTATTTAATCAATTAAAATCAAAAATATTTATTCTATCTGATGCTCTGTAAAAAAAGAACTACGGTTTTGCTATAAACTCAAATTCTTTAATTCCAATATCTTTGCAACCCGATGTCGTAGACCTTCGAATTTTAAACTATGAATTATGTTAAATCAAAAAGTCTAAGTTTAGTCTAAGCTTAGTATAGTTCATGTATAATTTCAATTGTAATTTTAATTCATGCATGATGCCAAACATATAGGATTTTTTTAATAGCTCATATTAAACTCACTGCTAACCAACGGCAAGCTCTCACGAAAAAAGAACGTAACAGTATTTTGCCAATAACTTCTTTTACATTTAAGCTGGAAACAAGCGCGTTGCAATTTTATAATGTATATGCCTAGAGGTGTTAGGTCATTTCCCCAGCACAACTTCCCCAACACAATTTCCCCAGTCACGACTTCCCCAACAACAATTTCCCCAGCCGCTAATTTCCCCAACACTAACTTCCCCAGTCACAAATTTCCCCAACAGCAACTTCCCCAACCGCTAATTTCCCCAACACTAACTTCCCCAGTCACTAATTTTTCCAACAGGTTGTACTCATACTTATTGGGAACCACCAGAACATATCTCACAGTGTATAAACTGCCAACATTGTCGACTCTAATTCAACTGATTTTTTCACATTCAAAAAGTTGCTAATTTTTTAATGATTTTAAAAAGGATAAATACAATCTCTCAAGGTTCGGATATATTTGAAGGAGAATCTGAACCATCTCTGAGTCCAAAATTACAACCGAAGAAAGCTGTTAAAGGAACAATTTTGGAAATGACAAGAAAAATATTTGATGTCACCAAACTGTTAAGGAAATTCTAATCAAAAATATTGTTTAACTAAAAAATCCATGATATTATTGTTTTTAAAACCTTATTGTTTTATAAGATGAAAATAGTTTAAATGATTAGTATAAAATGGAAGCTGAAGGACAAAAAAAACAAGGAAAGAGACACAGATCAATGTTCAGAGGATGAGATTAACCGCGAGGACAAGGATGAAAGTAAAAATGAAGGGGATGAGGACGAGGAGAAGGAAGATAATAAAAGAACGGAGGATTCAAAAGAGAGTGAAATTTTAGAAAAAGAGACAGAATCCAATAGATTTAATCCTCCTTTGCCAGTTCAAGATTTAGGTTCAAATAATAAAAATAAAAGGGAAGCATATTCTATGGTTGGAACAAAAATGCGTTAATTTAAACTTTCTAAGCATTAGATTAAACAAACTGCAAGGATTAAAAAGTTGCATGTTGCACTAAAGCAAATACAGAGGGAACTGTAAACCATGCACCACCTGGCATAAAAGATTTAGAATTTAAACCGGATAGTTTTCCATTAAGGACTGAACACTTGCCGCAAACTCTAATAATGCATGTTTTCAGTTTCTTTCACTGCAGTAAAAACATCCCTGATAATTCCTTTCAAGATATGCTTTTGTGTGTGCAGAGCGGGGTTCAGAATGAACAGAAGCTACCTCAGATTTACAAGAAAACTCTGGAAAAGCAAAAGTACAAATAATTTAGGAAAAATGTAAAAAAAAATCTTTATTTTGCGGAAATTTTTCTTATTTTTTTTTATGTGTTTATGATTTAAAGTTCTCAGGAGCTAAGGGTCAGAAAATTGCTAAGAAACTGGGTTCTTTCCTCAAACTCACATTTATAATCCCTATATCTTTGCAACCTGATTTTGTAAACCTTTGATTTTTCCAACAGTAAACTATTTGATCTAACCGAATTCAGAGTTTGAAATATAAAAGGTATACGACATATGGGATTAGGAAATCAAAGTTTGTGGGAAAACTCAGTTCCTTTTTTATTCTAAATGCTTTTGAGGAGAGCGAAAACATAAACTTCAGCTCAAAGAATTGTAAAGATAAAAAAGTATTAATAAAAATAGAATAATTTTTTTTCACAATTTTACTCCAGAAACCCCAACTCCAAGACGTGATAGTTTACCTAACCTGGAGATAAGGTCAGAAACTCCGGGAAATCAATCTTCTAATTCACATTTAACTAAATCTAAAAGTCTTTCAAGTGTTGAGGAAGAGCTAAGATCAAGCTGTCCTGGTTCCCCTCCAACTCCTAGTATCAGGACGGCTGTCGTAGGTATATCAAATAGTCTGATAAATCTAACATCAATGCTAGGAGATTCAACAAATACACATATCAAAGATACCGGAGAAACTGGGGAAATTGAACATAATTTAGAAGGGAACCTTCTACAAGATATCCTTGAACCTAAACTTCATTCCTCTGAGCTTTCAACTAATCCAGATGATGGGACTGAAGAATCTTCTACTCCGGGTGTAGATCTAGCTGTACTTGAGGTTTCTCAGACTGTGATCAATTTCACTAATTCTCTGGGACAATCGATGGATACTAAACAGGTTAAAAACCAAGAGAATGAGAATCTAGCGGTCTCTATTTACAGGGAAATGAGAAATGAACGCTTACAATCTATTCTTGAGGACTCGGAGAGTCAGCTTGATGAATCTGAACCTGAACTAGAAACATCAATGTTGAAACGTTCAATATTGGACATGACAAACACATATCTCGATGTTACAGCTTTCCTGCTGGACCAGGAACCCGGAGATGAATCTCTCGGAGGAACCCGTCCTCCAACTGTCATTGAAAACCGAGGACCTGGAGAGCTGCAAGAGATCCAAGAAGAACCCTGTCTGGAGGAAAAAGCATCTTTATTAGGTTAAATTTTTTAAAACATATTTCATGAATTTTATAAAAATTATAAATTTTCTGCTCTAGGTGAAGATTCTAATGATACAGAGGTTGATATAAAAGATGAAATAATGAAACTAACACTAGACGTACTACAGATTACTAAACTAATGGGTTAGTCTCTCATTAAATATATTTTTTACTTCGAACATTTTTCGTTTAAAACATGGTTTTTTGAACTCAAGTAATAGAGTTAGAACCAGAAAACTCTGGAACGGAAAAACGACTTTAAGACTCCGGTTATGCCTTTATATTGTCCAATGTACAGCAGTTGAGCAGTAAGTGACCTAGAAGTAGAAAAACTATTTGTTTTGTAAAAATATTAAATACCCTTGATTCGTAGTTTAATGTTGTCTTCCTGTTACACAGTTTTATGGTATTTTATCTGAACCGATTTGACTCATATTTTTATTGTGGAACTCGGGAGAGCCACGGGAATGTTCTTAGCTTGGTTTTGAAATTCTAAGTTTAGCGGGTCGACTTTTATTTAGAAAATTTAGTTTCTCGGTAAAATTGACCAAGTGCGGGTAAATGGCGGGAGTAACTACGAGTAACCTGGGCAACGCTGGGTTCCCAAGCTAAACTGATATAAAAATCAGACATTCGTTTGAAATTTAGAAACTGATATACTGACCTAATTTAGGTGAGGATATCCCAATCCCAACTCTTCTCCCAACTGATGTTTACATGGAGGGAGGTATTGATGCAATGTCCTGTAAGAGCCTTGAAACAAGTCCAACTAGGTGAGTGAAAACAACAAAAGGATTGTTTACGTTCTTATTTAATTATAAAAAAAGTAAAAAATAAATAAAGCTTAATTTTAGAATTATTTAAACTAAATATTTAACCAATCTGAATAGTTTCCTGGTAGGTTTTTGGAAAAACCAATCTAATATTTTTCTGTATTAGCTATCGTACAAAGTAATTGATAAAACCGGAGATATGATTATTATTTTAGGGATATAGTAGGTACTCTTGTGAATCGTTGATGGTACTTTTTGGGTCTTATGAAGGAAAATTAATCCATCCATAAAGTTGTTGAGAATGAATCAAAGACGACTTGTCTTGAGTTTAAAGAAAGATGGGACCAAACCAAGGATTAAATTAACTAAGTAGTTTAACCAACTTTATACATTCATTAATTTTTACCCTTAATTTAATCTGATAAAATAATGCCTTTAATTATTAAATAAAATCTTAATTGCTTTTCTAGTTTCGAATTGCTTTTTTAGTTATCACGTGAGTAGAGTAGAAAATATTTAGGTTTAGTAGCACAGCGATTAAAAGTAGGAAAACCAGTATTCTCGTCGCAGAGGAGCTTATTAAATGTTTTAAACTTGACAGGTAAATAATGATGTAAAGGTAAAAATTAAAATATAAAACTTGAGTCTTGAGAAATCAAAATAGGGGTTGCATTTTTTTACCTTGACAGTTGAGGAAGATGCGGTGGGGTAGGTTGAAAAATGTGAAATGTGAATATAAACTTGCTTAAAAATGTGAAATGTGAATATAAACTTGTTCAGCAAACAAATTGTATTAATTCTCCATGGTTTTTATTCTTGTAGTACTCTTGAACACATTGAATCACTAGTGTTCTGCTACCTTTTCATATAAAAGATGTAAAACTAGATTATTGTCAATTAGTTTTTTAAATTTGATGTCTCTCTATTGAACCAACAGAATAACAAGCTGAGGTATATTTTCTATTTTAGTCGCCATTAAATATTTATAGTCATAAACAACTCTTTAAATAATCCAATTTTAGTCTAAACTTGAATAATTTTAGCTGGCTTTTGTTTTGTTTTTCTCCAAAGTTTTCCTTTTTCCCTTCCCTTTCCTCCCTTGCCAGTTAATCCCCCAGTATCTGGTAGCTGACTACTGACCTCATTCTTATATAAACAATCAAATAATCATCAACTTTTTCTGCAAACCTGTAAATTCAAGGAAACCCGGAAACTAAAATCTGTTATTATTCCTTGAATTTATGCATTAACGATAATTTAAAAAAAATGTAAAGTCATGTTCTAATCAAAGCTGAAAAGTAGGAAAATAAACAGCTGTTGTACTTTCATGGATGTCATTATTAATATCTATCAAAATTGTAATAAAATAATGATTTTGAGAAAATAGAGAGTGTATTAAAAATACTGTAATAAATTTCTTGGACAAATTAAACCACTTTACACTTACACAGGTTAAAATATGAAAGGGGCAAGGGGGCATGTTCCAGGTAGGGGGGGGGATGGAGTTTCCCCCTTTTCACTCCCTCCCCCCAACCCCAACCCATTGCACGTAACCCTACACCTCCCGAACTTGCAATACAGAAGTATCGATAGAACAAAATAACACTTAATAATTAGAAAGTGTTTTTATTTTGTTTAAAATGAAGTTGAATGAAAACAACAAACAACTTTAAAAACATTGAGACCTTTGAATAAAATTATAGGTTCAAAGTTCAAGAACTGTAAAAGCACAAAAAAAATAATTATATAAATATTTTTTTTCGACTCAGTTTTATTACAAACCACTATAAAGTTGTATATCTACTGTTTATAGTATAGCGAAAGAGAATAGCAATTAAGTCAATAAACACCTGTATTTAGTGTATCCTAGATCCCAGGAGAGTTATCTCCCTTCTAGTTTATTTTTCCCTCCCGGGAACTATATCTAACAAATTAACTAAATTGATATTGTTTTCAGTTAGGCTCTGTGCTCTTTAAAGGGTGTAATTTCAAGGGACCCTTCACGTAAAGAATGGTATGTCCGATTCACAACGGATAACCACGAAACCTTTGTCTGATCAAGTATGAACGAGATGTCCTTATTTTTCTACCTGAAATTTGATTATTTTTAATTGTAGTTTCTCTTTTTTAGTGAAAAAAATAGATTGTCAGAATTCAACATGTTTGTTGTGAATAGAACATGTCACTCAAATTCACTCAAATGTAGGATCACTTGAAATTACGTCTACAGTCCCTATAACATTGCTTAAACCAAACCTCTTTTCTTCTTTGGTACAATTTTCTATTCTTCTTTTCTTCTTTTCTTCTTTTCTACATTTCTTCTTTTCTCCTTTTCTTCTTTTCTTCTTTTCTCCTTTTCTTCTTTTCTTCTTTTCTCCTTTTCTTCTTTTCTTCTTTTCTTCTTTTCTTCTTTTCTTCTTTTCTTCATTTCTTCTTTTCTACAATGTTTTTTTCCTCTTTCCTACAGTCTTATATTCTTCTTTCCTACAATCTTCTTTTCTTCCTTTATACAAACTTCTTTTCTTCTTTTCTACAGTCTTTTTTCTTCTTTTCTACAATGTTCTTTTCTTCTTTCCTACACTCTTCTTTTCTTCTTTTCTACAATCTTCTTTTCTTCGTTTCTACAATCTTCTTTTTTCTTTCCTATAATCTTCTATTTGTCTTTCTCCTACAATCTTCTTTTCTTCTTTTATACAATCTTCTATTCTTCTTTTCTGAATCTTCTTTTCTTCTTTCTTATAATCTTCTATTCTTCTTTCTCCAACAATCTTCTTTTCTTCTTTTATACAATCTTCTTTTCTTCTTTTATACAATCTTCTATTCTTCTTTTCTGAATCTTCTTTTCTTCTTTCCTATAATCTTATATTCTTCTTTCTCCTACAATCTTCTTTTCTTCTTTCCTACAATCTTCTTTTCTTCTTTTCTACAATCTTAATTTCCTCCTTTATATAATCTTCTTTTCTTATTTTCTACAATCTTCTTTTCTTCTTCTGTACAATCTTCTCTTTTTCTTTTCTTCTTTTCTACAATCCTCTCTTATTATCCGTTTTTTCCACATTCGTGTTTTTCCTTTTTCTCCTTTTCATCTATCTGTATTATTTACTATATAACATCCGAAATCGTTAAAAGTATTCTCTATCCGTATGTATTATGCACAACTTTAGAGTTGGGAATACATTTCGATGTTATTTTATATTACCGTTAATCCCTAAATATTGGAATCTAATTTGAACTATTTTCTTAATGTTTTCTTTTCTTCCTTTCATTTTTTTTCTTCCCTTTTCCATCTTTGTCTAATCTTTATTTGTAAAATTTTTTTCCATCCTTTTGTTAATTCTATTCTTTTTCATACATATTTTTCCGCGTTTTCCCCAAAAAATTGTCATCCTCATTCCTTTTTAATACCTTTTTGTTCTTTTTGCATTGTTTTTCATCCCTTTTCATGTAACGTTTGTTCGCATTTTCACCATTTTCTCTCAAAATATATAATAATTGTATAATTGCAGAGAAGAAAGTGAGGATATTGCTGATATATTGATTAGGGGAAAACTCTCCCCAATCCCATCTCCTGTTGAATACTCCCCAGAGAGACGAGGTATAACTCTACAGTTTATACAACCTAGATATTCATCTAGTCTCTGCAGTTAGCATTAATACAACCAATTACACAATTAATTAGATATTATAGGGGGTATATTCTTATTAGAAGTATTTATAATTCCTTACAGGGATCTTTGATTGGTTAATAACACATTTAATTTGTTCTGATGTGTTTAGACTTCTCTTCTCCTGATGAGAACTTACTGAAAAGAGAGAAGGAGAACCAGAAGAAGGTGAAGACTGAGAAGGAGGTTGAGGTTAAGAAGATCCTGGAGAGAGCAAGGAGAGCAAGGACGGAACTGGAGAAGGAGCTGGCCAGACACTCCGATAGCTCCCAGGAGAATGAGAGCAGTATTCCTGTTCGTCATAAAACCGTCCGGTACTCATTCTACTCATCTACTCATCTACTCATCTACTGATCTCCGCATCTACTCATCTACTCATCTACTCATCTACTCATCCACTCATCTACTCATCTGCTCATCTGCTCATCTGCTCATCTACTCATCTACTCATCTTCTCATCTACTAATCTACTCATCTACTCATCTACTCATCTACTCATCTACTCATTTACTCATCCTCTCATCTACTCATCTACTCATCTATTCATCTATTCATCTACTCATCTATGCATCTGCTCATTTACTCATCTATTCTATTTACGTACCTTCAATTATCCAAACCATTAATGTTAAACCCCCATGAGAGGTATGGAATGTGTAAATTCATATCATTATAAAAGAGCCATACAAAAGTTCCCAGCTCTGATTTTCTTAGTTGATATTAAATGTTGCATCTTGTTTGATTCGTTCACTCCGTGCATGACTCAACCGTGTTCACAATAACACCCAATCTAAACCTTATTCATGATCCTACCCGGATGAAAATCCTTCCCTTACCATTATTTAATCCTCTTACTTCATAGTTTTATCATATCACGGATTCACAACCATAATCCTACAGGTTGAAGTGTGAGTATCTGAGTGACTCTGAGGATAGCGGGGATGAGTATCATAGAGATGAAGCTGAGAACCTGGCAGATTCATTAAACATTCATCCTGTAAGACAACAATCCTTCCCTGATCCTCCTTACTCATCTCCAGTCAATATTCCAGGACTGCTAGCTCAACCTTTTCAGGTATATATAATACCATGAGAGATCTTGTGATCTTATTATTGAGGTTTTGTTTCAGTTTGACTCCCGGTATTCAGAACAACTGGTTGATCTGCTCCGGGATCACTGTAGTGGAAGAATAACATTATGTTGTGAAGGTAAACATTGTTTAAGATCTCTACAACCAATAAACTCTATGAAGAAACTATATATATATATATATATCCTTCTAGGAAAAAAATCCCTGCACCCGAGTACGGGACGGAAAAGTCCTGTTAGTCTGGAATGTATCTCTAGAATACTAGATTCAGATCCTTCGTGAGTTCTTTACAATAATTTAGACATTTTTTAATGATTAACAATTAAAGGGACTGTATTCGTAATTTCAAGAGACACTAAACACATTCAGTTTGGAAACCCACATTTTACTGGAAACTGTAGTTTCCCTAAAAAAATGAACCCACTTAACTAAAAAATCTCTAGACCCAGCTAAGAACATTCCTATAGTTCTTCCGAGTTCCCCAATCAAAATTTGAGGCAAATCAGTGAAGATGTTCCCGAGTTAAGATCGGACATCCTAACAGAGATTACTACTTTATATATATATAGAGATATTTAAAGGTTGTTGGATAAGCCGGATGATGAAGGATACACTCCCCTCCACTTGGCAGTTATATCTGGGAACCTCAAGGTTGCTCGTCTACTCCTGGATAGAGGAGCTGATGTAAACAGTACAGATCACGAGAGACATTCAGTCATACACTGGGCTGTTGTCTGCGGAGAACTAGAAATCCTCATTGATCTTCAGCTTAGGGGAGCAAATATTAGGTAACCTCCTATTACTCCCTACTCAGGGTAAACACGGATAAATGGACGTATATTGACGAATGGTCACTAAACACAGTACAACTTGGATATTCGTAAACAAATGTAATACTGTGATAACCAGAAAACAATGGAATTTAAAGACGACATTATAGCAATACTCAAGTTTATTTGATGCTTTTACAAAGCAAATAATTTTCTGAACACTTATTAAATCAGTAATTTAGTTAAATGGATCAAAGTGTCTAAAGCTCATTGCACTATGTTAAGTTCCTGTTTCAGAGTTTTCTGGTTATCACTGTAGCAACGCCAAAAAGTGAAACGGAAATTTTCCAAATTTTAGTGTTTCTGATTGTCATGGAGCCTACCCTATCCACTATGCAGTACAGATGTGCGCTGCTGAATCCCAGAAACAACAAGATTTTATCAAATGTCTCCAGGTTTTGATCAAGCTTGGAGCAGACATCAATATTTTGGTAAATTACAAAAAATCTTATAATATTTTCAAGATATTTTTAAATCTAATATTTCTAGGATAAGGAGGGTCGAAACCCATTATTGTGGGCAGGTTCAGCAGGATCTACTCAAGCTATAGATATATTATTGAGAGCTGGAGCTAATGTTAACTCACATGATTTTGAAGGATTGACAACATTACACTGCTCAGCTTCTAGGGGGCATGCTATGAGTTTAAAAGCAATCCTGATGGAGAAAGATATTGAAATAGATGCCACGGATACTAACGGATGTTCAGCGTTGTTCTACGCAGTTACATTAGGTCACGTAGAGTGCACAGAAGCATTAATTCAAAGTGGAGCTCTGATAAACCGACAAGATATGAAAGGACGTACTCCAGCCCATTGTGCTGCTGCCAAAGGGATCCTAAAAAGCTTGAAAACTCTGAAGAATTTCGGAGCAGATTTATGGATTAAAAACAAGCGAGGAGATTATCCTTTGCATGAATCTGTCCATTCTGGCGAAAAAGAAGTAATCAGCTGGCTTTTAAATCAGAAACCAGAATCTGTAAATTCGACCAATAATGAGGGTAGGACCCTACTCCATCTAGCTGCCTTGTATGATAAAATAGAAATCTGTAAAGTGCTGATGGATCAAGGGGCCTTTGTGAATCCTATTATGAGAAATTCCAAGGGCCAGCTACTCACCCCCTTTGATGCTGCGATGCACAGGTCAAACAAGGGGTGTGCAAAGTATTTACAGCTCCATGGGGGTGTTCCGGCAATAAAAATTACTGATAAAAATGCCTTACAGAAAGCTCTAGTTCGCGCCTTCTCCGAGAGTCAAGGAGAACAGGTTCTACCTGTTGAGTACAAACAAGTGAATGAGAACAAGGTTGATCAGCACACTGAACCGAGCTCTGATCAAGCTGAGACAACAGAGAATTCTAACCAAACTGAAGAGAATCCAACAGAAGAAAAAGTGGATGAATCAGGATTGGAAACTATTAATAGTGATAATAAGATGGAAAGTAAAGAAATGCAAACATCTCCAGAAAAGATTGAATCAGTGAAAAGTTTTCTAGAATCCGAGGTTCAAACATCCCCGGAGAAAATTGATTTAACAAAAACTTTTCTGGAAGCTGAGATTCAAACGTCTCCAGAGAAGTTAAACAGTCCAGAACAAGAAAAAACGAAGATTCCTGATTCAGATATTTACAAAGTGGAGATAGATAATGATCAAAATTCTGTTGATAATGAGATAATCTCGAACCTTGATACAGTTACTACTATTGAAGAAGTTTCAGAGAATACAGAGAAACAAAGTAATGATCATATTGAGAAGATAGAAGAGGAGAATACTGCTGAAGAGATAGCTCCAGAAAATACTGGAATTCCTCAAGAAAATACCAATGATTTAGAAAACATTAAAAAAGGAGAAGAATGTGACAACATCTCAAAAATTGATGAAACTGATCAAATCATTGAAGATGATGAAAAGTATAATTTAAAAGAATCCATTGGCTCAGACCAAAGAGTCAAAGACAAAGAAACCAACGAAATAATAGAATATAAGAAGAGTGGTAAAAATGATAAAGATAAAATCAAAGAAACAATTAAATCTGATGAGAGCGTTAAAGATGTGGAAGATAAAACCAATGAAACTATAGAAGCTGATAAGAGTTTAAAAGTTGTTAAAAATAAAACCAAAGAAATTAAAAAATCTGTTGAGAATGTTGAAGCTGATAAAGATGAAACCAAAGTGTCCAACGAAACTGATACCGAACCCACCTCCAAAGTTTCTTCAGCAAATTCTTCAAAACGTTCGTTTGAAAATGTTGTTAAACAAAGATTTGAAAAAGAATGGAGCGTTGATGAAATGAGAAGAAGTCCCAAGAAGAAGAGGTTTCCTCCACCTGAAGATATTCTAGAGGAGAACCTGATCAAGTTTCAGCAGAGTGCGGATAACATTGCTCAGCAGATTTGCGAGAAACTGAAGGAAGAACTGAAAAATATGGAACTCCGATCAGAAACCAAAATGTCCGCAGAACTAGAAGAACAACGAGTTCAAGTTAAAGAAATTTTAAACAACATTGAAAACCTGAACAAATCCTTTATTGCACGTATTGATGAAAAGAAAGATGAACTGGAGAAATTTATGCAAAGAGCTGATTCTGTTCTTTGTAAAGTAAAATCTGGTTTAGAAGATATCCCTCAGTTAGCAGATGAGAAGGCAAAGAGAACAATTGAAACTGCAAGGAAAGCAAGAGAAGAGTTTTATGAATCTCAGGATAAAACAACTACAGTTAGTCAGTTCACTTATACGGATGAATATGATAGAAACGAGGACAATGATGATACAGAGGCTGATTCTGAGGATAGCAAAGAGGACGAATTGGGTGAAAGTGAGACTGTAAACAAGAACGATTCATCGGAATCCACAGAAAATCTTGAACCAGGTCCGTGGCAGTTAAGATATATATTTAAAAACTCGCTTTTTTGACGAGATGAATTAAAACCAGTAAATATTAAAGACGCGGCACAGGCCTTCTTATTGTGGAGTGGCGTGTCCGATTCACAACAATACCCTTTAAACCTGATCAAGGATAAGAGACTTATCCTTGTTTATCTACAGAAACGCTTGTAATTGTTGATAACTTTTGTTTGCAAACTGTTTTAAATTAAAAAATGATAATATTTACTTTCTGGAAGTCCTGGAAAATATTTTCGTTCAATTTATTTGAAGACAGCGATGGACATGGAAATTTCTGGATATTTGAGAAATATGTGTTGTGTTCACACTGTACACTTTGCATTTTTCCGGTTATTTAAACATCATTTTAGAAATGAAAACACAGATTACTCTGTCGTCGATTATTAGAGAAAGGTTTAAAGGGTACCGCTGTGAATAGTTCCTACACTATATCTATAAACGTAGGGTCACACGGAATTACACTTCCAGTCCATTAAAGTTAGAATACTTATGTTGTTAACCTAAATAGTAAATGTTTAGTTGCTGATGAGAGGATCTACAGAACTCCACGGCATACGCAGACGGAACCATATCCACAGTATTCCTTTACAATTATCTTATATTTGATCATTCTCAAAATTAAAATAAGAAAAATTAATGAACCGAAAAAATGTATTAAAATTTAATGCAAAGAATGATATATAAATGAATAAATGAAAGAATTAATGACTAATCAAATGAATAAATGAAAGGCTGTTTGGGTCATAAAATTGAAAAATGAAAGAATGATTGTATTATATAATGAATTAATTAAAGGATAAATAATAATGATTAAATAGTAAAAGAAAGAATGAATATTGAATAAATAAATAAATAAATGGATGAATAATGATTAAAGGAATAAATGAAAGGATGAATAATGATAGAATGAATAAATGAATGGATAAATAATAATGATTAAATAAATAAATGAAAGTTTGAATAATGATAGGATGAAGAAATGAAAGGATGAATAATAATGATAGAATGAAGAAATGAATGGATGAATAATGATTAAATGAATAAAAGAAAGGATGAATAATGATAGAATGAATAATAAAAGAATCAATAATAGTGATCAAATGAATAAATGAAAGGATGAATAATAATGATTAAATGAATAAATGAAAGTATGAATAATGATTAAATGAAGAAATGAAAGAATGAATAATGATTAACTGAAGAAATAAAGGAAGGGATGAATAATGATAGAATGAATAAATGAAAGGATAAATAATGATTAAAAGAATAAATGAAAGAATGAATAATAATGATCAAATGACGAAATGAAAGGATGAATAATGTAAAATAAAAAAAATAAAGGATGGATGATGATTAAATGAATAAATTAAAGAAGGATGAATAATGATTAAATGAAGAAATGAAAGAAAGGATGAATAATACTAGAATGAATAAATTAAAGGATGAATGATAATGATTAAATAAATAAATGAAAGGATTAATTATGAATAGATAAATAAAGGATGAATAATACTAGAAATGAATAAATGAATAGATAAGTAAAGGATGAATAAATGAAAGTATGAATATATAAATGAATATATAAATGAAGAAATGAAAGAAAGGATGAATAAATGAAAGGATGAAAAATAATGATTAAATAAATAAATAAAAGGGTAAATAATGAATAGATAAGTAAAGGATGAATAAATGAATGAAAGAATGAATGTATAGGTTACCTGATATAGAGTGCCGGGAGACCCAGTATACTCCACCAAACTTTATATCTCTCCACCAGCTGTATGATGAGAATGTCAGGGTTAGACTTCTCCAGGTGGATTCTAAGCAGGTTCAGGCTTTTGAGGAGAAAAGGTAAACAGATCCAACCTTTCCTATTAAAATAATCATATTCCGTCCTTAAAAGATTATTTCAATTCTAGCATAGAAGAGCCGTCTACTTGGTTTCCCGGAGTCGCAAGTTTTCCCCATTCTGGTCCTAACAGGTCAGATTCTACTACTCCTAGTCCTACCCGGAGAATAGGAAACTCTGCAGGAAGCTCAAGGAGACTAAAGAGACAGGAGAAGAACTTGGAGACTGTTAGGAATAAAACATTTTCCATAATTTTATCAGTCTTTTATTCACCCCACCACAGATTTTTGTCTTTTTATCTAGAATAAAGAGGCGATCCGAAGATCTTTGGACATGTGCAGAAACAATTAAACGATGCCTAGCAGGATATTTTAATGTTTTAATAAAACAGTTCGAGTGATGATTCTCCTCCTTTATCACGACGGTCAACTCTTCCTGTCCAATACATCAATAATTCTTCAATTTCCAGGTCATATTTTGGTAAAAATCTCTTTAAAATCTTATGTATACAAGAAAAAAGGAAATTATAATGATTAATAAAAAGAAATATCTGGGTAATATATTGGTAATAATCTTTGTAAAAGCTTATATAAACAGGAAAAAAAAAGAATTATAATATTTAATAAAAAGTAATTTCTGGGTATCATTTTGGTAATAATCTCTGTAAAATCTTATATATACAAGAAAAAAGGAATTATAAAAATTAATAAAAAATTATATCTGGGTAATATATTGGTAATGATCTCCGCAAAATCAGGATAAAATATAGCATATATGGCTCTGTTACATTTGCCATAATACTTTTGCCATAAATACATTTGCCATAATTACACTTGTCATAAATACTTTTGCCATAAGTAACAATTGTCATAAGTTACATTTGCCATAAGTTACACTTGCCATAATGGTTACACTTAATTACACTTGCAATAATTACTTTTGTCATAATTTTCTAATTTTAAGAAAGATCTTAAATTTGTCGTTTTTTTTGTAAATGCGGAAAATTTTCACATGAAAATTTCCAACTTTTGTTTTAAAGCACAACAGTTAACGTGAGTTAAGTTCCATATTTTCTTAACTGGAAGAACTTGGTGAAGAGTCACTATGCAAACATCGTCCGACAGTAATTTTAACTAAATTTAATTTTAATTAAGTGTTATTATGGCAAGTGTAATTATGGCAAGAGTAACCATTATGGCTAGTACAACCATTATGACAAGTGTAACTAATGGCAAGTGTTACTTATGGCAAGTGAGATTATGGCAAATGCATTTTTTGCAAAAGTATTATGGTAAGTGTAACCATTATGACAAGTGTAACTTATGGCAAGTTAAATTTTTGGCAAGTGTAATTATGGCAATTTTTGTTTTGCAAAAGTATTATGGCAAATGTAACTGAGCAATATATATTTATAGTTAGTACAAAGTAATAATAGGCAATATTCTAAAAATATTGTGTATAAGATGTGGGACAGTTCCCGTTAGTATCTGGGTAATATTAAAGTAATATCTTGGTAAATATGTATTATAATTATTTGTTTCAACCTTCAACTTGTAGAAGAACGGAGGAAGAAGGGGAGAGGAGTTGTGCTCCTATTCCTATGTTTGTCTCCAGGAGAGGCCTTGATAGAAACTCAAACCTTGAGAGTGATTTAGAGAATAGTTTACATTTACCTACTCATAGGTAAACCTATAGTTCACATCTACCTACTCATAGGTAAACCTATAGTTCAATACTACCTACTCATAGGTAAACCTATAGTTTACATTTACCTACTCATAAGTAAACCTAAAGTTTACATCTACCTCATAGGTAAACCTATAGTTTACATCTTCCTAATCATAGGTAAATTTTACATATTCCTGCTCATAGGTAAACCTAGAGTTTACATCTACCTACTTATAGGTAAACCTATAGTTTACATATTCCTAATCACAGGTAAACCTATAGTTTACATCTACCTACTCATGTGTAAACATATAGTTTGCATTTACCTACTCATAGATAGACCTATAGTTTACATCTTCCTACTCATATGTAAACATATAGTTTACATCTACCTACTCATAGGTAAACCTATAGTTTACATCTTCCTACTCATAGGTAAACCTCTAGTTTACATTTACCTGCTCATAGGTAAATCTATAGTTTACATATTCCTGCTCATAGGTAAACCTATAGTTTACATCTCCCTACTCATATGTAAACATATAGTTTACATCTACCTACTTATAGGTAAACCTATAGTTTACATATTCCTGCTCATAGGTAAACCTATAGTTTACATATTTCTGCTCATAGGTAAACCTATAGATTACATATTCCTACTCATAGGTAAACCTATAGTTTACATACACCTACTCATAGGTAAACCTATTGTTCAATACTACCTAGTTAAAACTAAACCCATAATTTCTGCTAAAATAAGAAAGTACTTTTTTTAGTTCTTTTGAATATTTAAACCTCGCATTAGAAAATATAAAACTTTTAGAATATACATTATTAAAGTTCATCCTTTCAAGGGTCAGTTTAAATGTAAAAAATACTAGGACCAACATTTTATATTATTAACTTTTTCTTCATAAGATAAATGAACAAACATGTATACCTGGAAAACTACAAACAAAACTAACTTTTTTTATATTAACATCTTTTTTTATTTATCTTATTAGTATAATTATTATTATTATTAATAATATAGTATCAAGACCAGAGTACTCTCTTGAAAACCAAGAATGATCCGTAGTTTGACCAGGAGTTTTCTTTTTTATTTACTCGGCACAAAACATTATAAATAATTAATAACACACTTTTAAAGAACCCTTAGGTTAATATATTAAAAACATAAGGAAGGTATTGCTCGTTTTCATTCTACTCGTTTAGAAATAGATAAAATCATTATTTGACACTGAAATACATAAACTAAGGTTTGCATGGGTTAAACATTGAGTGAGTAAAAAAGCAAATGTGCAAAGTCTGTAAAAAAACTGTTTAATAAAAAACTAACTGTGCGTAAAAAATCTGGGGGCCCCCTCCCCCCAATTCCTGTGTTATATACGACTTGAGCTGAAAACTATAGAATTGGATAGTTTTAATCCCTATCGCTTAGTCTGAATATTCAGTGTGGAAACCTTTAATTTCCTTCTTAATCCAAAATTTTCGCAAAATTTCCGCATTTCTTATTTCGCGAAAGTTTTCGCATTTTTCTCAAGCGTACGAAATGCGAAATTGTTTTATTTTCGCGAAACAATTTCCCATTTTCGCTGGAATCCCTATTTCCAACTAATGAGAGTTCACTTTTAAATTGCGCGCAAAATTTCAAATTTCCCGGCTTTTCCTATTTGCCAAGCATTGATTTTAAAAATCACAGCTCGGTTTAGTTATTATTTGTTTCAGATCTTGTGATCCTAAAGACTCTGGGTACAGTGATGTTGTGAGACAAAGTGGAGACGAAAGTTCATGTACAGGTATACATCATGCAACATCTGGTCTCAGCACAGACAACGTGAATATGCTGAACATTTATCCTTACTTCAGGTCCTAAACCTCAGAAGGTTGATGTTTCTAAATCCGGAGTTCTAGCAGAAGATCTTGAAATCACAAGTTTAGGGGTAGGATTATTCAACCCAGCTCATATCTTTCTTTTCCACCATAAATTCAGTATTCACATTTTGAAAACCTATTGAGAAAATCATACAAGTTAAATACATTTTTATGTGCAACCAAATACAGTTGCTGTTCTAATACAGGGTGTCCCACATCAAATTAGACTGCATCAATGGGTCTAAATTACATTTTGGGGGATAAATCAAAAAATTTAAGAAGAATGAATCATTTTAAAAAAATTAATAAGGCTAATAGAAATTTTGTTTGCAGAAAATGCTAGATTTTTTTAGTATTATGTGCGTATTTTGGCGTTAAAGATTGGAGATAATCTAATATGAAATGGGACACTCTGTAGATGAACGTAGCATACAAACTAGAGGAGCTACGAGGTCAAACAGTCGTACCAGTAATTTTCCATGAATTGTACATTTTCCTTATATGTCTAATTGGATTGAGTAGAGGCTATATTTCTTATTTATCTAGGGATTGACCCCTAGACCTGAACCAGTATCCAGCTACTGGCAGGCTGGTCACTCCACTAAACCTTCTACTAGGAAGAAGGAGAAGATTGATCTCAGCCTCAAATCCAAGGATATCCAACAAGTCAGGTGATTCATGATATGTTTAGTAAACAGAGGAATTGAGTTTTTGCCACAAACTCTGATTTCCTTATCTCTATTTCTTTGTAACTCAATGTTGTACACCTTAGATATTTCAAACTATGAATTCATCTAAATCAAATAATCTAAGTTTGAAATATCAATGGTTTGCACCATCAGGTTGCATAGATATTGGGATCTGAAGATTTGAGTTTGTGGCAAAAACTCAATTCCTTTTTACTTCATATAAGTCTGTTTCAAAATTGATCGCTTTACTCAAGATTTTCACTTTAGGAACTCACAATAATTGTGTCAAAATTTAGAAATTTTATTTTATCTATTTTATTTTATCAAAATCCCGGGATGAAAATAGCTCACATTTTTTGTGTAACTCACATGCTCCCAATTCCCGGGGCAGATGTACGTTCGGTCAGAATTAAACAATTCCTTAAATTAAACCTTTTTTAAAATAAAAAAGCCTTTCTGCCAATGAAAAAAATGAGATAATAACAAAAAAGTTGATAAGAACAAAATACCCATTGTCTTGGCAGTTTCAGAATGTGGTCTGCCTTTTGTGTGCGTTAAATATTGTCAGATTTCGTCAATTTTGGTTTAATTATAAACAGTAAAATCTGTACGAAATCTTAATATTTCCGGCAATATTGATAGCACAAAAAAGACAGACCACATTTTGGAAATGCCAGAATTATGAGATTTTATTGGTTGTAGTTTCCAGAATCTGACATTTAATAGAGAGTTCATGACTGAGTGTCACAAATAAATTCAAAGTTCTAAGACGACTTTAAAATCTTCTTGCTACTGTCATGTTTCGTGGGACACCCTGTACTATAGAAGAGGCTCGCTGCATTTAGATAGACAAACATAAAAACCGTAAGATTATTACCAGAAAGATAGGTTTAGAGCTGCCTGTAATAACTTTAATCTGATAATATCTTCCAGTACCTTTGCTCCGAGTCACGTGAAACGGTTCCAGCTTGAGAGAAGAATATTCCAGGAGCTTCTTAATATTAAACGAATGCAAATACGAGCACCTAGGCAAACCATGTTAAACAATTCCCGAAATATTGAAGAAAAAAATGATAAACATGGATTTAGCTCTAATCCTTGATGAATATGGATATTCCCGAAATATTGAAGAAAAAAATGATAAACATGAATTCTCCTTTAGCTCTAATCCTTGATAAATATGGATATTGGCTAAACGTTGAAACTTTTCTTGGAAAACTTTATAAATATTCTATTGACATATTTTCAGATTAGGTTCTCAATTACATAGAATAGTAACCAAGGAAGAAGAAATATATAACTAATTAAATGTCGTCTTTGTTTCTTTTTAAAACCAATGCCACGTAGACTATTTTTGCGTCCGTATTAGCATTTCAAATAAAAAAAGGGAAAACAAAACAACAATTCTGCTTCCTATTTGTTACCAATAAAATATATGCTCAGTTTTACATTTACTCCTGAAATCTATCTCTCTTTCTCTGCAATAATCTATGACCAATCAATTTTCAATGACTATAAACATGAATTGAAATAACATGGTTGTTTTTAACAGTTCTAATGAGAGAATAATAGTTAAAGAACTAACCGAGAAATATGATGCAACGATTAATAAATTCTTTGATAGATCTAAATACAAGGGAGGATTCTCATACAAGGTATTCATAAATCAGGCAAAAGACGTCTTTTATTTCAAGAGTTTTTAAATTTACTTTTTGTTTTATAAACGTGTAGATATATCTTAAAATTTAATAATTTACATTTGAAATTTGAAATTTATGATAATAAACTTTTGACAGTGGCACAGTGAACAGTGTACATTGTGCACAGAATGATAGATATAACTGCTATTGAAAAATAATAATTAAAACAATTTAAAAATCAAAAAAAAAATCTGCTCATTGCAAGCTTAATTGCAACTGCAAACTTAAAATCTTGACACATCCTATTCTAAAAAAAATGACATGAAGTGTTCTAAATTTTGATTCAGGAGTTCGAGTCTTACCTATACAAGGAGCTAGAGAGGGTTCAGGAGAAAAGGGAGGGAAGATCTCATAACTCAAGTACAAACATGGAATCTCAGAACTTCAACCGGAGTTCACAGTCCTTGTATCAGTTCCAGTCGGCGCAGTCCAAGTACATGTCAGGATATAAAATAGCTGCCGTAAACCGGTTTGGAGAAGGAAACAAGATGGCGGGGATTTTTCAGGTTTGTGTTTGTTTTATTAAATAATTAGTAGATTCAAACAATTGTTTAATACAAAAATTTTAATGATTCAACATTTTCAATATCAGGAGAGAGGAATAGGGTGCCATCAACAAACGTCACATGTCAAGTAAGTATTTCAAAACTTTGATCGTCAATCTTTTGTAAATACATAACAATGATATCGATGGATATACATAGGGGTGAACTGCTTCTTTGAAAGGTTAAACTTTTGTTCAGTGAATCTTCAGTCTTGAACGCATGATCTTGATATCCAATCTGGGATCTTTTAAATTTGAGGATAAATGCTTGATCCCTTTATTAAAGTTGTCCCTGACCACCACGGGATATAATAAAGGAACTAAATTAAATAAATTTGCAGAAGATGGAGTTCATTGGTTGATCCCTAGAGTCACAACACAAAAGTTCTGACTGCAGAACAAATGTTGTTTAAAAATTTACAATTCACTTTTTTCTAACATATGAAATGATCGGTTGATCACAATTGATTAAAACCCACACCTAATATTTTTGCAACCGAAACCTAAAGAAAATACTTCTCTATTTTCCGTTCAGTATCAGCAAAGTATTTATAAAAATGTTATTGAGAATTTGTCAAATTATAATGATTGAAATTTCTGTTGATGCATAGAGATGATCAGAGTAGTAGTGATCCAAGTATGTGCACAAACTCATCTCATCGCTGCCACCACGCAGCTCATGCTTACACAGGGATACCTTGCTCTAAACACAGGTATACTTTACCTTGCTCTAAACACAGGTATACTTTACCTTGCTCTAAACCCAGGTATACTTTACCTTGCTCTAAACACAGGTATACTTTACCTTGCTCTTAACACAGGTATAGTTTACCTTGCTCTAAACACAGGTATGCTTTACCTTGATCTAAACACAGGTATGCTTTACCTTGCTCTAAACACAGGTATACTTTACCTTGCTCTAAACACAGGTATACTTTACCTTGCTCTAAACATAGGTATACTTTACCTTGCTCTAAACGCAGGTAAACAGACTTTACCTTGCTCTAAACACAGGTATACTTTACCTTTCTCTGAACACAGGTATATTTTACGTTGCTCTGAACGCAGGTAAACAGACTTTACCTTGCTCTAAACACAGGTATACAGACTTTACTTTACTCTAAACACAGGTAAACAGACTTTATCTTGCTCTAAAAACAGGTGTACAGGGATAACTTGCTCTAAACACAGGGATACCTTGCTCTAAACACAGGTATGTTTTCCTTGCTCTAAACACAGGTATACTTTACCTTGCTCTGAACGCAGGTAAACAGACTTTACCTTGCTCTAAACACAGGTATACAGACTTTACCTTACTCTAAACACAGGTAAACAGACTTTATCTTGCTCTAAAAACAGGTGTACAGGGATACCTTGCTCTAAACACAGGTAAACTTTACATTGCTCTGAACGGTATACTTTACATTGCTCTGAACACAGGTATACTTTACCTTGCTCTAAACACAGTATAAAGACTTTACCTTGCTTTAAACACAGGTATACAGACTTTTCCTTACTCTAAACACAGGTACTCAGACTTTACCTTGCTCTAAAAACAGGTGCTTGCCCTAAACACAGGTATACAGACTTTACCTTGCTATAAACACAGTTAAACAGACTTTACCTTGCTCTAAACACAGGTATACAGACTTTACCTTGAAATAGGTAAATAGACTTTACATTGCTCTAAAAACATGTATTCAGACTTCACTTTGCTATAAACATAGATAATAGGTATACAGACTTTCCCTTGCTATAAGTACAGGTATACAAACTTTACCTTGCTTTAAACAAAGGTATACAGACTTTGCATACTTTACCTTTCTGTAAACATGGATGAAGCTAAATTTTCCTTTCTCTATACAGTAACAGACCATCAGATGTATACTTAACTATGCTATAAAAGATAAACATTCTTTATTTTTCTGAACACACATATTTTGCTTAGCTTGCTGAAACACTTATTTTCCTAAAATTTCTTAAATGCACAAGTATACCCTGGGGTCTGGTATTACAGGGTGATCAGATAAGGGAGTCACGGAAGTTCGTAGTAAGATTTTGACTTCACTGGAGACCACTGGAGACCACTGGAGGGGTTTGTGAAAATGCTTTTTCAATTTAAAACTTTACGCAGGGTGATTTACATTCCACTGGAGGGATTCACATATCTTTACTAGGAGTTAAAATTCCACTGGAGGGATTCAGATATCCTTTCTGGTGGTTTATAATTCCACTGGAAGGATTCAGTTATCCTTCCTAGGGGTTTATAATTCCACTGTAGGGATTACAATTACAATGGAATTAAAAACCCCTAGTAAGGATATCTGAATCCCTCCAGTGGAATTATAAACCCTAGGAAGGATAACTGAATCCCTCCAGTGGAATGTAAATCACCCTGCGTAAAGCTTTAAATTTTAAAAAGCATTTTTTCAAACCCCTCCAGTGGAAATAAAGTCCCTCCTTATCTCAATAGAAAGGTAAATATTTCTATAACATGGAAGCTGGAATTTTGAGTCCACTTAAGAAAATTACATAAATAATTTATTAACACTTGTAATATGGAAGTGTGTATATGATCAAATAGTTTACATAGTTAAAAAATGTTGCCAAGGGAGGGCACGAACATTTTTTGTGCCCCCCCCCCCCTCCACAAATGCTCTCGTACGCCCCTTTCTGGAAATCTTTGTAGACTTTGCATTTCACTTCACTTATCATATATATCTGAACACAATTACATTTAGATGTTCGAAAGATAAACAAATCTATCCTGAAACTATGTTTAGGAGAGGACGGATGAGCAGGAATCGAATTATAAACTCGGAGACGAGGAAAACTTTGCTTCGAGAAATATCTCCCTCTCTCCCTCTCACTCTAAGAATAAAAAATGGAGACAAGATGCAAAATATAAAGGTAAACCTAACCTTGATCAAATATCTTTTATGAAAAAAAGATTTAAAAATGAATATGAAATTTTGTGTTCAGGTTCCAACTGATCAACTGGAGAAGAACAAGAAGTATATGATCTCGTTTAGCTTTAAGCCATCTCCTGAACAAATACAGACTTTTTAATCTCCAGATGAAATACAGACTTTTTAATCTCCTGATGAAATACAGACTTTTTAATCTCCTGAACAAATTCAGACTTTTTTATCTTCTGATCAAATACAGACTTTTTAATCTCCTGATGAAGTACAGACTTTTTAATCTCCTGAACAAATACAGAATTTTTAATCTTCTGATGAATTACGGACTTTTTAATCCGCTAATAAAATACGGACCTTTTGATCTCCTAAACAAATACAGACTTTTTAATCTTCTGATGAATTACGGACTTTTTAATCCGCTAATCAAATACGGACCTTTTGATCTCCTAAATAAATGAAAACCTTTAATCTCCTGATGAAGTATAGACCTTCTATTCGTCTGATCAAATATAGACCTTCTAATCTCCTGATCAAATATAGACCTTCTAATCTCCTGATCAAATTTAGACCTCCTAATCTCCTGATCAAATATAGACCTTCTAATCTCCTGATCAAATTTGGACCTCCTAATCTCCTGATCAAATATAGACCTTCTAACCTCCTGATCAAATATAGACCTCCTAGTTATACAGACCTTATAATCTTGTGACCAAATATAGACCTTTTAATATCCTGATCAAATACAGACCTTAAAATATCCTAATCAAATGTAGACCTTATAATCCCTTGATCAAATACATACCTTTTAATCTCCTGATCAAATACAAGTCTTCTTCATCTCCTGATCAAATACAGGCCTCCTAATCTCCTAATCAATACAGAGTTTTAAATCTCCCGATAAAATATATCTTCTGAGCTGGGAAATTTTGAATGGTGGATATCGGGATTAATGCTTGATCCACTCTTTTTCTTAATCTCAAGATTAAATAATGCTTGTTCTTCTTTTATTATTAATCTCAAGATTAATTAACCAATTGGGATTAAGGATATCACAATCTTAAGTTTTCAGCTCAGATCAAATAAAATCGATCTTCTTAATCTCCTGATCAAATGCAGACCTCCTAATCTCCTGATCAAATTTTTTCAAGTTTTAAGGAATTTAATTTACATTGGATTTAAATCTCTTCAAATATTTATAGTAAAAATTATAATATATTTCTAAATCGAAATAAATGGATTATCAAAGACGACATTCTTGAGAGTAACTACCATGGCGCTCATATATGAAACAATAGAGATAAAACTCTTTATAATGCTAAATATATTTGTACCGGACAATTTAGGGGCGTATACAAGAACTTGTCCCTGAAAATCATAACTGAAAAATGTTGCTTGGAAAAAATGTCGACTTTTATTATTTTATAAAATGCCCCAATTTCAGGGTTGGCATAAAAAAAACCAGCCCAAAAAAACCAATGAACCCCATTTAAAAAAACCCACCTGTAAGTGGGCTTTTTTGGGTTTAATTAGAATTTTTCTATTTATTACCTTTTCTTCCCTCTTGTTATAATAAACTCTTCAAGAAAAAAGGACTACTAGCGACTGTATTGATTTTTAGGGAGTTTACAGAACTAAAACTGCCACATTTATTCATTTCATAAGACTTGAACGAATAATGGGTTATCTGAAAAAATATTTAATTAATAGAAGTAGTCAAACTTGTCACTCGGAACTTCAAGACGGTTTCGGATTTTAGACCAGACAAATCCAATTGTTGACAACTTTTGAAGCAATCGATCATCTGCAGTGCTTGTTTTTTTAAGTATTAAAGATATTGAAAAACCCAAGAACTACATCAGATTTTTCAAAAATTTTGCGATAGAATAAGGATATAAAATTATTTCGTCATTTTTGTTTGTGAATGAGCTGAAGTTTTTCTGTATTTAACAGTGGTCTTCCTTCTTAAGCATATACATATCTACCGATTAATCCAAGTCCACCCCCAAACAGAAATATGTATCCAAGTGAGAAAATAGAATTAAGTCTGAAATTTCAAGAACTATAATATTAAAAAATTGCAGTATTCCCCTTATGAAGAAGGGAGGTGATATTATTGTATTTGAAGAGTATTCATTTATGATTAATTATAGCCTATTATCACAACAATATTATTTTTTATAACTATTAAGTTCCCCTATCGTTTAAATAGTCTTTGTTATTATGAATTAGTATGAATTTTAGAAGGTTTTAACTACTTTCAACTGGAAAAGCCCAAAAAACCAATGAAACCCACTGGGCTGTTGCATCAGCTAAAAGCTATAATTGTTACTAGAAAAGAGGCGCGAAGCACCCTAAATGTCAAGTTAGTCAAACTGCAGTAGTGAATTGAAGACGTGTAACATTCATACATACATTATAGCTCTACAAATTAGGAAAATAAAACTATGAATTTTTTCTACATTTATTCTACATTAATTGTATTGAGAAGTATCACTTCGTTAAGTTAAAATTAGAAAATATACGAGAAAAATTTGCTGAATATAAAATCTGATGGTCGCTAGAGCACTAAATCATTATGAAAATATGAACAACTTCTTGGGACGGTAAAATGTAAATCAAGGGTAAGCGCTATTCCACTTAACACCTCGTAATGCCCTGTCACGCACCCAAAAATGTCCAAAAATGAACAGTTATGTTTACAAAATTTGATATTTAAATAGTACACAAAGTCAATAAAAAAACTATCAGAAATTGACAAGAACAAATTCTCTTTATACTGTAACAGAAATAAGAAATAAATAATATTAACTTCGGATACTGATACACGAGCAATTTCATATAATGAGCAGAATGAATGTTTCCATGTACAATGAACATTAATAATTATAATCTTTCAATTAAACATGGCAGATATGATTTTAACTAGCACTTAAAGGGACAGTAAGCACAATTTCAATTGGTCCTCCATGCAAAGATGGCAATATTCGATTTACAACTTTACCCTTAAAAGCTTTGTCTGATCAAGTATGAACTAGATATCAGAAACTCACAGAAATAAATACTTATCAAGTGAGAGAAACGACGGTATCTTCCACATTTTTGATCAAATGAAGAATTCAAGTGTACCGTAGGAAATCGGACATTGCCATCTTTGCATGGAGAGTCACTTGAAATTACGCTTACAGTCCCTTTAAGCTAGATGCTTTATGCTAGACTAACAACTCCCTTTTCATTTTTTTTATAAATATAGAAAAGTTTTTAAATGCAGAACTGGAAAATTTTGAACCAAGGTATAAATTGTTAGTATTGTAGATAAAAGATTTTTAAAACAACAGTTTTCTAAGGTTGAAGATTAAAAAGATATGGTATATTGTGACTGTGTAACTAAACGTTATTACAGCTTAACATTTTATGTTTTGGAATTTTTTATTACAATTAACGAAATAAGTAAACAGTAAAATGTACCTAGAGATATTCTTTCAAGAACTTAAAAAAATGTCACTTAAAAAATCAACAATATTTTCCAATTTAATTTGTAATTTTTTATACTGCTATTTACTGCAAGAAAATTCAGTTTGACTGTATAGTGTAAAGTGTACACTGTACAGTTTTGGAACAAAATATGTAAATTAAAGAATTGGTGTGAAGGTACTTTTTTCAGTTCAGAAGATTGACGGATAATTTGGCAACTAGGAATAAATGTTTAAACATTGGAAAATCTGATTGTCTTGAAACATAAATATTCTTGGTTATGATTACTTTATTAAGTTTAGGCTAAGAGGATTAACTTCTCTTTTCACAGGTTGGTTTCATATCATCCAAGTATCCATAGAAAGGATACATTTGGAAGGTTGGTTGTATCCCAACCCTACAGTTTAGATTGGTTGTATCCCAACCCTATAGTTAAGATTGGTTGTATCCCAATTCATAGTTTAGATTGGTTGTATCCCAACCCTATAGTTAAGATTGGTTGTATCCCAACTCATAGTTTGGATTGGTTGTATCCCAACCCTATAGTTAAGATTGGCTGTATCCCAACTCATAGTTTAGATTGGTTGTATCCCAACCCTATAGTTAAGATTGGCTGTATCCCAACTCATAGTTTAGATTGGTTGTATCCCAACCCTACAGTTTAGATTGGTTGTATCACTAACCCTACAGCTGGTTGTATCACCATAAGTATTGAATTGTTTGTATCACCGAGATTTAATATTGTTTGCAATCCACTCCAGTCCTTGATATAATCTGAAAATAAATAAATATATTTTTACACTTAAAATTCGGTGATGGTGATAAACCAAACCTCTGTAAAGTAAAAAAGTAGATGTTAGTTTTAACTTCTATACACAGTCATAGACAGTAGAGTGGATTGAAATTAGTCTTTATTTGAAAGTCTTTTAATCCGAAAATTCATTAAAATTGTGTGGTTTGTAACAGTAGCAATTTTGCCGTATACATTTTTTCAGATATATTATTGGTCATCATAACTGTTAAATTTTCCTTTAATTCGAAATCTAATCGATAGATTTTGCAAGTTTTTATTGAAGAAAATATACACTTGCATCAAACTGAAATTTCTTAGTCCCTACATCATATCTCTTTAATCTGATGGTGTAAATATTTGATATTTGATCTAACAAAGGTTAGAGTTTGAAATATCAAAGGTCCTAGAAATAGGGTTGGAAAGATATAGGAATTAGAAAATTATGGTTTGATCCGAGTGTTAAACCTCACCCTTCTCCTGTTAGTCCACAACAGGACTGTATCTGCCATTTATGCTTTCTGATATTCTGTAGATTGAGTTGACGAGATATCTCAGCAGCAGACATACATCCAGCTACATCCTAGATACATACATTTTTATATATACATAGGTACAGACATACATCTAGCTACATCCTAGATACATACATTATTATATATACATAGGTACAGACATACATCCAGCTACATCCTAGATACATACATTTTTATATATACATAGCTACAGACATACATCCAGCTACATCCTAGATACATACATTTTTATATATACATAGCCACAGACATACATCCAGCTACATCCTAGATACATACATTTTTATATATACATAGCTACAGACATACATCTAGCTACATCCTAGATACATACATTATTATATATACATAGGTACAGACATACATCCAGCTACATCCTAGATACATACATTTTTATATATACATAGCTACAGACATACATTAGCTACATCCTAGATACATACATTATTATATATACATAGGTACAGACATACATCCAGCTACATCCTAGATACATACATTTTTATATATACATAGCTACAGACATACATCCAGCTACATCCTAGATATATACATTATTATATATACATAGGTACAGACATACATCCAGCTACATCCTAGATACATACATTTTTATATATACATAGCTACAGACATACATTAGCTACATCCTAGATACATACATTTTTATATATACATAGCTACAGACATACATCTAGCTACATCCTAGATACATACATTATTATATATACATAGCTACAGACATACATTAGCTACATCCTAGATACATACATTATTATATATACATAACTACAGACATACATCCAGCTACATCCTAGATACATACATTTTTATATATACATAGCTACAGACATACATTAGCTACATCCTAGATACATACATTCATTTAAACACATAAATAACTCGATTTTCAGTATCAATTAAAATTTAGCTTAAACATGAAATAACTTAATATAAATAGACAAGGAACATTTTATGAGATGATTTTTATGATTTTTATGAATTAGAAAAATCTTAACTAAATGAAAAAACTAACAAGGAAAAAGATTCAAATTGTAATTAATTCCACGCGATGATTTCCAGATTAAAATAAATTAGAATAATTAATTTATGATCCGTACTGAGAATTTTTGCCATTAGGAGTAGAAAATTATGTAAGGGTGTAAATTTGTCCAAAATGTTAATACTAACTAACAAGTTTTAATAATATATTAATGTTTATAATTTTGAAAAATAATTATTTTCAATTGTGGTTTCTCTACAAAAGTGACATTTCTTCTACAGGAAAACATATAGGAATCACATTTAAACATATTTTAAGCTATTAAAAGACAATATTAATATCTTCCACATCACTGATTAGATAAAGGGCTCTTTCAAGGGTAAAATTGTGAATCAGGCATTGTCATCTTTGCCCGGAGGGTCACTTGAAATCACGCTTAAGAGCCCCTTTTGGGACTTTGTCGTTCAAATATTTCCCCAATACTTCTTCCCCATAAAGTTCCTCTTTTTATTAATTATCAACTACAGAATAAACATTAATTTTGCTTTAAAAGCTTCAGGCGAGAACACATGATAAACTAGGAGCAACTTTTAACTTTCTAACCTGCTTGTTAGCAAAGACAAGAACAGCTGCTTTACACAGCTCGTCACTCTCCAGCATCTTGTGGAGCTCCTCTTTGCTGATGGTCAAGCGCTCCCTGTCCGTGCTGTCCACGACCATGATTATAAACTAGAAAAAAATCTGAAATTACGTCAAAAACAGTATATACTAAGGATCAATTCAACTTTCATCTTTGAGAACAAACAGGTTTTTTTGAGCATTTCAGTTGCTCTTTTGTCCCATGGATCAGGAGCCGTGGAGGTGAATAATTTTGCGACTTCAGATCAAGGTACATAAAATGTTGCAATCCGGATCCTAAGATCTGGTCAAAACGAATTCTAAAGATTTACAAATAAATATAATTTTGATGTTTATGAGAACTTTTGAAGTTTACATTCGAATTTAGTTTTTGTTATGGCTTCTGGAAACAGTGTCTCTATATTATTAGAAACAAATTATAGACTATATAACAGAAATTGTTTAACATTGCTAACAAAACTATATTTTCTGTGACAGAACTAAGTCTTGTTAAGTATTCCAAATAAAATTTTTGTAATATCGTTAGTAGCTTAAGTTACCTCTATGTTACGGTAGTAAGTATTCAAGTTACCTCTCTGTTACTGTATTAAGTATTAAAGCTACCTCTGTGTTACAGTGGTAAGTATTCAAGTTACCTCTGTGTTACTGTAATTTCAAGTAACCTTCCATTTAGAGAAGCCCATTGCAGAATTATGGATGCATTTAATTATTAAAATGACTTTTTAAATCGATTTTCTGTCTATATAAATACCACTATCGTTTTTGATCTGCCGAAGGTTTAAAGGGCACGTGGATTTAACGGTTCTGTCAGTATTTCAGAAAGCTGTGACTTTCGATCACAATTGGACCCCTTATACATAATTTTATAGCCTTTATTCTTAAATAATTTTTTGTTGGCATGTACATTTTGAATGAAAAAGTATAAAATAAACAAATCCGTAATTTTAAAGATTGTAGAAATATAGACGAAAACACGTTTGATTTCAAATAGAAGAAACCGAATGCTTCTCTCTCTGGTTAGTTCGGGGTGAGGGTATTGTTGTAAATCTGAACTGGACTTCTTTGAATGGAAGGTCACTTGAAATTACGCATACAGTCCTTTAAAAGTTACCTCTGTGTTACTGTAGTAAGTATTCCAAGATGTCCTGAGGGATTCTTGTCCTCCTAGATCCCACATAATAAAATGTATATTGTTCCAGAATAACATTTTATAAATTTAAGGACAGTATGGTAGAATTTCAGTTTTTGTTTTGAAACTAAATTTTCCTTTAAGTTCTTCGCCAAAATAAATATTAAACATGCAATTACCTTCGTTTCCAAAGAGACTCCAAATCTTGGCTAAAATTAGCCCCATTTTGATGCTAAACTGTTAGATTCACACTTGTAAGATTTCAGTCTGAGAGCAATTCATTCTTGTTATACAGTGCAACCTTCAATACAGCTGAAATATACTCTTTAATCTAATATTACTCCGCTAAATGAACTTGGAAATGTCAAATATTTATTTTTAAATCAAAATTCGCCTTATTTGATTTAACTTGTTAGATTTTATAGCTTCTTATCAAGAATATTAACCATAGCGGTTTGCTGTACTTGTCAAAAATGAAAAATATTATTGGAACTATTTTTCTTATTTGTAAATAACAACAAAATGTACTTTGTACAGAGTTCAGAAAACAAGAAAACCCCTTAAAGTTCGGAGACATGTCAAAAGTTTAAACTGTTACATTATAAAAAAATAACAATTAATAAGATTTTTGAAATCTATTCAAATCGTTGACGAGCGTATTCTGGGTGTATATTTTATTTATTTATAACAATTAATCTAATCTAACAGATAATGTTTATTTTGCAAAAGCTCAAGAATCCCAAATAATTTTTTTTCGACGCGTGCAACTTTTTTCTAACGTTATTTTCAAGAAATAAATATGAAATATTGAATAAAAAATAAAATAAAAAAAATTAAAATTATAGGTTTACATTTTTTTCTCAACTCAGTCAACTTTAAGCAGAGAACGAGAAAAATACGTGAAATAATTTTTTGGCCTAAAGAATAAAAATATTATTATAATGGAAATGGCATTTAAGACGTATAGAAATGAATTTTTATCAATCTATATGGAAGTGGCAATGATCGCGTGAAACAAATTTTTAAAAATGCTGAATATAAAGATTTTTAATTTAGAAGTTCACCATTATTTTGTTCAATTGCTTTGGCAAATTTTCGCGTAATGGCTTTACAAGGTTCATTGTGATAATTAGGACAATAGTTAAGTTGGAGTAAAGAATGAAAGCATTAAAACACATATGTACTTCTTGACCCCCCTGATCTCTCCTTTTGATCCCACTGAGCGGCGGCGGGGGGAGCGCGGAGAAAGCTGACACTGTTATTAAACAAAGAAACTGCGCATTTAAAACCCAAGCTTAGGGAGCATATGCTTTCATTTTGGTCCGCATCTGCTCAATAAGTTCCCTATAAAGCATCAGTCTATCCTGGAACACAGGAGAAGCAGGATGCGAGTTCTTTTCTTTCTTCTCGCCGTATCTACGGTCAAAGCTATTTCCTTCTTTGAACTTGTAGTAGAGGAATGGGAAACATGGAAGCTAACTCACGAGAAATCTTATGAATCTCCGACGGAGGAGAAGTTTAGGATGAAGATCTACATGGAGAACAAAGCCAAGGTGGAGAAGCATAACCGGAGAGCAACCAGAGGTCATCACTCCTACCATCTCAAGATGAACGAGTACGGAGATATGCTCCATCACGAGTTTGTCTCCAAGATGAACGGGTTCAACAAGAGACTGACAAGAACAAACAGTTCCAGACCACTCGGAGCAACCTTCCTAGCTCCAGCTCATATGACCGCTGTACCAAAAAATGTAGATTGGAGAACCCATGGAGCTGTTACTCCAGTAAAGAACCAAGGTCAGTGTGGATCCTGTTGGTCCTTCTCTACTACTGGAGCTCTCGAGGCAATGAATTTCCGTAAGACTGGAAAGCTTGTAAGCCTGAGCGAGCAGAACCTTATTGATTGCAGCACTTCCTACGGTAACCAGGGTTGTAATGGAGGACTCATGGACAATGCGTTCCAGTACATCAAGGATAACGGAGGTATTGATACAGAGGAATCCTATCCTTATGAAGGAGAGGATGACAAGTGCAGATACAGCGCCAAGAACAAAGGAGCAACAGATATTGGTTTCGTTGACGTTACTCCCGGAGATGAAAACGCTCTGAAAACTGCTCTTGCCACCCAGGGACCCTGCAGTGTTGCCATCGATGCCAGCCACGAGTCCTTCCAGTTCTACAGTCACGGAGTTTATAGAGAAGAAGAATGCAGCCCGGAGAATCTGGATCACGGAGTTCTAGCAATTGGATACGGAGTTGATGCCAAGAGCGGAGAGTCCTACTGGTTGGTTAAGAACAGCTGGGGAGAGACCTGGGGAGATCAGGGATATGTTAAGATTGCCAGAAACGAGAATAACATGTGCGGAGTTGCCAGCTCTGCTTCCTATCCACTGGTCTAAAATACATATACTTACACAATTATTTAATAATTTATGATAATCAATATTTTGTAATTTCTGTACTTTTTGAGCGTTTTAAAAAGAATAAAGGTATAATAACTTAATTTTTGTAGTTTATAGCATTTATTTGATTTCAGAACATTATGTTTCTAGACAATATCGAATCCTTCTCAGATTCCGATGAAACCTCTGAGAAAGTATCTAAGAATTCTATACTACGTGATAAATACCGTCCTAAAACCTGCTCTTCTCAACTTGATTTTGATAATGATATTAACGGTATAAAGTGCAGAGCAGATCTTCTTTATTTACAAGGACAGTTTTTAGACGCAAAACTCCTATACTCTGATTTATATATGAGACAGGATATTAAAAGTTCGTTTTTGAAAAGGGATCTTGCGGAGTCAATTTCCAGAACATGCTTATCTCTAGGTCCAGTTCTCAATACAAATGATAAACCTCTTTCTTGGTTTGAATCTTTAAGCATTTTCCTTCTTATGACATTTATTAACATTTTTGTCCAGTCTGTTTTTTTATTACGAAGAGTACAGTATCTAGTCCTTATTCTCTTCTTTCTCACCGAGGGTTTATGAGAAGGGGGTGGGGGGATAAATCAACAAAATGAAAAATCAAATTTTAAAATATAATGCACGAAGAATAGGAAGAATAAAGAAAGAGAAAAAGAGTATATTCGCAGATAATGGTAGAATACGCCAGGAAAACGGAAAAAAGTAACAAAATTCGAAAATGAAATAAAAATGTTAGATAATATGATAAAATAGAGAAAGAAAAAAATACAAAGAGAAAATACCCCAAAAAAACACGGAAAGATAACAGAAGAAATCGACAGGAGGAAATATAGTATTGAAAAGTGCAAGGAAAGAAATAAGAAGGAAAGTTAAATAACAAAAGGTGAAGGAAAGAAATAGTTATATATTTTCTTTATTCTTGAGGTTCTTATGCGGAAGGGGGGATATACATCACTTTACAAGGAACCAGAAATATAATAAGACGGAATAATTATTTATAGTGGGGGGTGTGTTAATGTTAAAATGTACATTAAAATACAAGTTTTTATTCACCAATTTTCATAATTTTAGCTCAAAAATTCCACGATCCGCAAACATTCGAGGGAAAAAAATTGGAGGGGGGGATCTTTTCTAGCATAATTTATTTCCCTGACGGATGATACATGATCAGGGGGTTAAAAATATTCTATGTGATATGTTGTTAAAATCGTTTTTTACAAAAAAAAATAAATAATAAACTGCCAAGATTTCAAAACTGTATTGGTTTTTATCAAACTTTGCAATATCTTATCCTAAAAAAAAGGAAAAAAACTATTTTAAAACGATCGTTAAAACACGTTCATTATTTCACCGTTTAAGGATCGTTTTGGTTCGTTTTTAGCATGTATCTTCTGTCAGAGTCGAAAATTTACATAGTTTTAAAAGAGTAAATGTTTCGAAAAAAAATAATTTAGAAAACATTTTTCTTCTGACACTATGACCATCGACCCTAGAAGAAAACAAGGACAAAAAATGACCCACAAACGAACCAACTAAAGGCACATCACTAGTTATTAGTAGTAAACTATTTTAATCGAATAATATTGTATAGTGATTTCTTAGATTCGTTTGATAGAGAAGGCGAAAACAACCGGACAATTCGGACTCCTCAAGGTGAAAATACATTCAGTGCTTAGGTTACGTTCTTTCCTGATCCATATCTGATCCGGAGGCCGAATTTAAAGAATTCGAGCGGCGGCTTAAATTTAAGCCGCCGCGCTAATATGGTTGATTTCACTTAAAATTGTATTAAATTTTTCAAGATTTAAGCGGATGCTTATTTGAAACCGGTTTTTGGCGGATTTAAGCCGCGGCTCAAATTCATTAAATTCGTACACGGGGCTCGTTAACTAATATAGCTCTTCATTTACATTTTTCAGAGCTGTAAGAAATAACAATTTCATCTGACTATCGACGTAGAAATATCAGTATGGATTAACATTCGCAGATTTTTATGCTACCAAACGGGTACGACAATTTCCGCCATCGTCGTTATATCATAAGTTTTATTCTGAGTCACTTTCAATTAAATATATTGCAAATTATCCAAGAGAGTTTTGACCAAAAGACCTTGGCAGCCATATTGATTTATTAACCTGGTTTAGTTTAGCAATTATATTTATATTTAGGCAATGCTAGCTGATTATTATTAGGTTTAGGCAAATATTTTTTAAATAATTAATAATAAATTTTAATAATACTCTTTAGGATCTTCAGAGTGAGGATCAACAAGAGGAGCAGGAGGATCCTTCAAGGTAGGTTAACTACCCGGAGTAGGGTTCAAATGACAAGTTTAATATCTTATTGATTTTCTAAATCAATTTTAAACTAAATTTTTATTTTAGGAAGAGGTTGAAGGTTTAAGATCTCTGACGGAGTTTTAGGACTTTTTGAGAGGGTTTAATGTGATTCCGGACACTCCTTTCCTGTTCTACTTATTTACTCCACTACACCTCTTTACCTGGATATGTCTTTCTCACCAGCAGGAGTTTATATTTTCATGAAAAACATTTTTCTTCTCCCTTTTACTTTTTAAATAACCCCCCTACTCCCCCCTAAAGGATCGGCCCCCAAAACTTTTCGTCAGGAAAATATATGCCCCTTGCTTCATACTTCGCATACTCTTCTACAGTGTAAACCAGATACCTGTGGCATAGAAAGATGACATTAAAGCAGTCTTGAAAGTGTATTTGAAGTTTGTCTAAAGTAAATAGTTTTACTAGTAGTTTAAAATCAATTATAATGTATGAAAAGAAAAAACTGGAAACAAATTTCTTCTTCTTAAAATCTGCGCGGTAACTTATATTCCTAAACATTGTATTGCGCGGTTAATCTGTTTAATCTATTTCTTTATTTGTCCTATAGATGTGGAATGATATTTATCCGGAAATGAACAGTTTCTCCAATATATCTTTCCTAAATTGACAATGAATTCAACTCCAGAAAAATTGGCAAATCATGGAAAACAAAACTCTAGTTTTTATCCTGGATGTTTCTTTGTTGTCTTGAAAAGATATTGAGTTATATTAAAGTTCTTTATATGTATTTCAAGGCTGGTCTAGTTTTCTGCTTAGTTACTGTTTATATTTGGACTGGGCTTACATGTGGTCCCCAGTGTATGCATATACTTGAATTTTTAGAATTACTTAAAGGGACTGTAAACGTAATTTCAAGTGACCCTCCATTGTGGCATGATCGATTTACAATGGCACTCTTTAAAGCTGGTCTGATCAAGAATGAATTATATATCCATGTATTTGTTCTTGAAAAAATTATTATTTTCATTTGAATGGTTGCTTTGAAAGAGTGACTTGCGCATTTCTTGCTTCAGAAACAAAAGAGAAATTATCAGAGTTCAATACATTTAAGCCAAAAAAACAGCTTCATTTTCCACATTATTTATCAGATTAAGGTTTTAAGGGTTCCATTGTGAACCAGACATGCTCCTCTTCAGATGAAGGATCACTTAAAATTACTTAACAGTTCCTTTTACCAGATCTATGTAACTTGATCTAATATTTACTTATTTAAAATCCAGTTTTAAAACAAATATATAAATATATAGGTTATACCCCCAATATCAACATTAAACATGTGTTTACTAAATATTCATTCGAGATTTTCTTTGTTCTCCCGCTTCTCCGGCATACTCCACACGAACTTTGAACCTTGCGTTCTTATCAAATCCTATCTTAAGATTTATATTTTTTAATTTATTGGTATCAATTTGATAAAACCTCTTTAAACAGGGGGGTTTATATTAATTTTTAGTTATTTCTTGATTTGGGATTTAATTGTTTTCTAAAAACTTAAAAGGCAATTTTTACTCAAAAATATTTACCCATTGAAACAAAAAGAGGACTGACTTGAATTTATCAATTTAAAATTGCTAATAAAATATATATATTTACTCTCTACAATATCATCTTTAAATTAAAAATGATTAGAACCATTGGAGTTTTTTATCTTTACCAGATTACTGGATTTAAGAAAAATCACTTCTCTAAGTATTGAGTTGAACTGAAGGTGAGTACGGTTTAGCTCTGGAGAAAGCAGATCAAATCTTGAACTCGACTCCGGATCACGATGATTTCAGAATAGTTGCTCTTTCACTTAAACTTGATGTTTTGGAAAAGAGTAAACTGGGATTGACCGAAAGAGCCAGGGAAAATCATATATTTTAGCCTACGGTCATTAACTACTCATTTCTTTAGATCACATTTCAAAATTTTAAGATAAAATATGGATTATTTCCTTGTTTAGTGAGTACAAAAGAAGTCTTATGCAGATTTTAACCCTGAATCCAAACCTATCAAGATACTGGAATAAACTCGCGCAAATCTATCTCGAGGAAAACCCGGAGAAGTCCTACCTCTGTCTCCTCCTATCCAAGCACTATTGCGTGGGACAGGATCAGAAATATTTGGATGAGAAAATATCAGAGATATCCAACCTGAACCCAGGACTTGATCTAAGCAAGATAGACTTCAAAACTCCTGGTTATGAAGACGGAGAAAAGAAAGCTTCAGAGTTCACAGATTTAGGTAATTTATAAATTGTGGTTCTGAAAACAACAATGCTGATCAATTAAATTCAATCATTCAAAATGTTGTGAATTAAACGAGTGCTTTGGATCCATTCCATTTTAATGCGGATCCTGATCCTGGATCCATCACATAATAACGCGGATCCGGATCCAGTTTTTGTAATAATTCTAAGAATATCTTTGATCAGGTAGTTCCGTGAGGCTGAAGGAGATCGAGGAGAAACTCTCAAACAAAAATCTTAATTCTTCCAATCAGCATTCCCTAAACCTGGTGACTGAGTTCGAGAATAAATGGTTCCAGAGCTCGAAATAATTTTTCATATTTTCAGAAAATTTAAGATGTCGGACGACGATAAAGATCTTGATATTGAGTCGGACGAGGATAATATCAATGGATTAGATTTCTCAAAGTAACGTTTTTCTAGAATTCATTCTCCCTCTCATATTTATGGGGTATCATTCCATGACGTGACCTAAATTTGTAAATCAAACTGCTTATAATTCAGTCTACGAAAAGGGATGGGGGTATTTTTTTAAATTCAGAAAGCAATTTAATTGTCTATTTCATCTGTCGAATTTATCAATGAAAAATAGCTATTTTAGAATTTGTATAAATCTATATTTTTAGCGGAGGCGTAGGAGAGGATGATAAAAGAGCCCATCATAACGCACTTGGTGAGTAAAAACACTTTTAAAACATTCTTAAACTGAATTAGAAAAGAGTGTGTTCGTGAATGTGGAACGTGGATAGGTACTCGTTTGACGAACCGACCATAATAAAATTACCCCCCGGTATACGCCCTTGACTATTAATTCTATCCGTTATGTTAAAAGAAGATTTGCAATGAGACATAAACCCCATAAATGCGTTGTGAAACCGGTTTTACGTTTGTTGAGGTAAGGTTTATGATTTAAGTTTAAACGATCTGTATAATTCAATCATAGTTCATTCTTTCTTACGTTTGACTTTTTTCATGGACTTCTTCCTCTTCTTTTGTTAAAAAAATTTCATATTCTTTCTTACTTGTTATTTTCGTCCTATGTTATATGTTTTATTTGTTTTAGAGAGGAAGCGTCGTGATCATATCAAAGATAGTTTCACAGGACTGAAGGATTCTATCCCAACTCTCCAGGTTAGAAGTGGACAGCTGGACTCTTGAATCCCTGAAACCGTGATTTACTCCCATGTAATCACTGTGTACACTGTACAAAAAATCTTCTTTTCTATATCTCAGCAATAGCATACTAAAAGAGTTATTATGACTGACTGTTTTTACAATTTAATAATTCTTAAAAATAATTTTATTTGTTTTGAATAATTATTTATAAATTTAATATTTTGTTCTGTTGTAGGGTGACAAGAGCTCTAGAGCCCAGATACTACGTAAAGCGAGCGAATATATCGCTTTCATGCGTCGGAAGAACGCGAGCCATACGAGCGATATTGAAGATCTCAGGAGACAAAATCAGCATCTAGATAATCAGGTAGTTTTCGGAGACAAAATTGCATAACTTAATAAATTAACCCCCCCCCCCCTATAAATCATGGGATTGGGGGGGGGGTGTGTGTGTTAATGTTAAAATGTACATTAAAATACAAGTTTTTATTCACCAATTTTCATAATTTTAGCTCAAAAATTCCACGATCCGCAAACATTCGAGGGAAAAAAATTGGAGGGGGGGATCTTTTCTAGCATAATTTATTTCCCTGACGGATGATACATGATCAGGGGGTTAAAAATATTCTATGTGATATGTTGTTAAAATCGTTTTTTACAAAAAAAAATAAATAATAAACTGCCAAGATTTCAAAACTGTATTGGTTTTTATCAAACTTTGCAATATCTTATCCTAAAAAAAAGGAAAAAAACTATTTTAAAACGATCGTTAAAACACGTTCATTATTTCACCGTTTAAGGATCGTTTTGGTTCGTTTTTAGCATGTATCTTCTGTCAGAGTCGAAAATTTACATAGTTTTAAAAGAGTAAATGTTTCGAAAAAAAATAATTTAGAAAACATTTTTCTTCTGACACTATGACCATCGACCCTAGAAGAAAACAAGGACAAAAAATGACCCACAAACGAACCAACTAAAGGCACATCACTAGTTATTAGTAGTAAACTATTTTAATCGAATAATATTGTATAGTGATTTCTTAGATTCGTTTGATAGAGAAGGCGAAAACAACCGGACAATTCGGACTCCTCAAGGTGAAAATACATTCAGTGCTTAGGTTACGTTCTTTCCTGATCCATATCTGATCCGGAGGCCGAATTTAAAGAATTCGAGCGGCGGCTTAAATTTAAGCCGCCGCGCTAATATGGTTGATTTCACTTAAAATTGTATTAAATTTTTCAAGATTTAAGCGGATGCTTATTTGAAACCGGTTTTTGGCGGATTTAAGCCGCGGCTCAAATTCATTAAATTCGTACACGGGGCTCGTTAACTAATATAGCTCTTCATTTACATTTTTCAGAGCTGTAAGAAATAACAATTTCATCTGACTATCGACGTAGAAATATCAGTATGGATTAACATTCGCAGATTTTTATGCTACCAAACGGGTACGACAATTTCCGCCATCGTCGTTATATCATAAGTTTTATTCTGAGTCACTTTCAATTAAATATATTGCAAATTATCCAAGAGAGTTTTGACCAAAAGACCTTGGCAGCCATATTGATTTATTAACCTGGTTTAGTTTAGCAATTATATTTATATTTAGGCAATGCTAGCTGATTATTATTAGGTTTAGGCAAATATTTTTTAAATAATTAATAATAAATTTTAATAATACTCTTTAGGATCTTCAGAGTGAGGATCAACAAGAGGAGCAGGAGGATCCTTCAAGGTAGGTTAACTACCCGGAGTAGGGTTCAAATGACAAGTTTAATATCTTATTGATTTTCTAAATCAATTTTAAACTAAATTTTTATTTTAGGAAGAGGTTGAAGGTTTAAGATCTCTGACGGAGTTTTAGGACTTTTTGAGAGGGTTTAATGTGATTCCGGACACTCCTTTCCTGTTCTACTTATTTACTCCACTACACCTCTTTACCTGGATATGTCTTTCTCACCAGCAGGAGTTTATATTTTCATGAAAAACATTTTTCTTCTCCCTTTTACTTTTTAAATAACCCCCCTACTCCCCCCTAAAGGATCGGCCCCCAAAACTTTTCGTCAGGAAAATATATGCCCCTTGCTTCATACTTCGCATACTCTTCTACAGTGTAAACCAGATACCTGTGGCATAGAAAGAGGACATTAAAGCAGTCTTGAAAGTGTATTTGAAGTTTGTCTAAAGTAAATAGTTTTACTAGTAGTTTAAAATCAATTATAAAAGAAAATAATCTGCGCTTTCTACGCAATTGCTGTCTTTAGTGTACATCAGACTATTTAAAATCAAAATTGGAGTCTGAAAGTCGTCTTCCATTCCGGAGTTTTCTGGTTCTCGTTTTAGTTGGAAGTTGTAACTTACTTTCAGAATTTCAAATATTGAAGTTATTTGTTATTAATTGTTCTCAATTGTATAATACTAGAAATAGAAATGTAAACGTTATATTTGACATGTTTGAAGAAGAATAACTATAGTTGTAACTAAATGCTTGATTTAAAAAAAAATATCCGCCGATTAGTATTTATTTTTTGAAATAAACCGTCTTTTCTCATGGAATCACAATAAAAAATAGTCTGATTTTAAACTTTAAATAGATTTTTTAAGTGAATATTTTATTCGCCCAGGGTTTTTTACTGCTAGTTCTGTTTAATTGTCATATGTTTAATACAAAATAAACTTTAGTTCCAGTATATATTCTGACTATGTTTGAAAAAATTTTGTAGATAGATGATATGAAAAGAGAAAACTGTGCAGGGTGATTAGATTTTCTAGATCTTGTAAAATACTTAAAGTCCTTATATTTTCTGCTTACATTTGAACATCTAGTCTAGAATTTTAAAAGTATTCAACCCATATCGTAATTAATATTGCAATCTAACTAGGTCCATGCTTATTTTAATGCTTAGGACGGTACAGGGTTACACACAAAGGAGACTTGATGGCAATCTGAAAGATATTCTTCTCATAGTAATTCATAATAATAATAGTTTATACAATATACATCACTTTACAAGGAACCAGAAATATAATAAGACGGAATAATTATTTATAGTGGTCTTTGAAGTGTCATCCTTACTGGGTCACCCTGTAAAATATGTCGACCTGTATGTGGAATATGATAAACATTCGAATTATTTAATCTTCGGAAAAAATAGGAAAGAAGCAAGTTTAAAAAAAATAAAAAATAATTGCTGATATTATTTTTTTTCTTATTGTACTGCTTGGCAAAATATTGAGAAAACCTGAAAATACATGTTACGTGACCATTGAAATATTAAATCTTTTTAATAATTAGATGGTTTATCAAGTTTCTTTTTAAAATGATGAAAACAACTTTTATAGAAATATCCATTTGTTCCAGTAACTAACAGTGCTAACAAACAAATACATTTTATTGAAATAGAACACATAATAATTAACAAGTTACTTTACATTGCTTTACGTTCATTCTGTAAATTTAATTCTGGGTTCTATATATACAAAGTCGAGTCTAGATACAGGGTGAATCAATTATCATTGGATCAATGAGTAAGAACTTCAGTGCTACAGGGTGTCCCGATAAACATGGGAATTAAGAGACGACTTGAAGGTCGTTTTCGATTATCGAATTGATTGTTTTAACTGGGATAGTCCAAAAAATTGTGTTCAAGTAACTAATGCCACGCAAAACAAAGACGATTAACACTCGTCAATTAATTCCCATGTTTATTGGGACATCCTATACATTGTACAAGGTGACTACAGAGCCCGTTCTCTCCATAATAATGTTTAAACAGTGTCCGTGTTGTTCACGTACTCTGGGGGACGATAGTTTGGCCGCTAGGTGTCTCACGCAAAATTCTTATCTGATAGATAGATAGTTCTTACGAGAGACATCTAGCGGCCAAACTATCGTCCCCCAAAGTACGTAAACAACACGACCACTGTTTAAACATTATTATGGAGAGAACGGGCTCAGTAGACTCTACACTCGGTGCATCAGGTTTTCAATGCCTTCTTCAAAGAAAAGGTTTTCGACAAATTCCTAGGCGGAAATTTAATTAGAAGGCTTTATCCATCTAAAAGATTGTATTTAAGGCGGGAGAATAGGGTTTGCATGTATTTGGACCTTAAAGTCATAAAAAGTAAACAATGATTTTACAAGACCAGTCCTACTACCCTGCCCGGGAGATTCCGACGATTTGTTTTGTTTTGATAATACTTCTACGTCACAGTGAAAGTGCAGTACACTTGCAATGCCTGACCGTAGATAACTAGAATGGCATTAGAATATGCTTATATATGTATTATTTCTTTGTACTGGATTTTTCCCCTATCTATACGTTCATTCATTTCTTTTGCCTATTTCTCAAACATTTTACGTCTCGACACAGTTTCAGTTTTTGTTAAAACAACCAAGAAAGCGTCCACATTCACAAGGAATAACTCCAAAGAGATGACTAAGATTCTAAGATATATGATTCACCCTGTAAAGTTTAGAGTAAAGATGCAGGTTATAGTTGAGTAGTAAACGAGGTTTAACGTTGTAATAAAGAATATCTGACAGCTGATTGACTAAAACCGGTTCTCTCCCCGGGGCGGTCAAGAAAACAAGGCAGAGCTGCTCTCCGCCACCCGCCTTAATTTCGGAACAGTTCCAGTCCAGAGCAGTCTAAGCTTCCGCCCTAAAAATGTGAGAGCTCTGATAGGCGACAGCTGACAGAGAAGTAGCGCGCAGCTTTTAACGTAGTCGAGGGCCCCCCAGGTTGGATGTCCTCCGTTGAGATAAAGGACATACGTGAATCCATCCTTACGCTTCCCCTTGATCGCGTAGTAGTACGGTAGGAAGGAATGTACCACAAATCCCCTGAAAATATTGAAGATACAGAGTGTCCCACGAAACATGATTGTAGTGGACGACTTGAAGGTCGTCTTTGATCTTTGAATAATTCAAGGCATTTATTCGTAAACTAAATAATAATACGTTTATTTTTGTTGTTAAAATTATAAATACAGGGGCTTTTGCAGGAATTTGTCCAGAAATGGGGGAGAGGTGTTTAATTTTTTTTCTTGAGCCCCCCCCCCTGAATATGCCTATGGATAAATACAAATAATACGTTAACATCAAAAGGAACTTTTAAAAGACTTCATGTGACCTGCTTAATCCACTTTTTTCGGGGACCACAATGTACAAACATTATTCCGACATGAAAGCTTGCTTATACTTTTTTAAGAATAAGTAATGGACGTAATCCGCTTCTTTATATATTCTTTATTATATAAAATATAGTAATTGATTGATAACTCATTATAATTATTTACCTATGCTCGTAGAAAGCTATCGCCTGTGAGTTGGTTGTGAGTACATGAAGATAAAGAGCTTTAACACTGTTATATGCTGTATCTGAGGTGAGATGAGAGATAAGGTTCTCTAGGAGAAGGCTTGCTATTCCTTGCTTTCGGAAATCCTCGCATACACCTGAACATTTATCAAATTACAAAATTAAAAGGTTGCTTGCTTTTATTGTTTTAAAGAACAATTGTGTGAGGGAGGGGTAAGACGTTTTCTAACACATTTTTAGAGAAGATTAACATCATCAGGTATATACGAAATATTATGAAGTTTAGGAGGAAATCTTGAGAACAATTGCTCCTGGCAGCAAGAATGTTTGCACATGCACACGTTACCAAAAAATATGATTAATATTCTAAATGTGTACGTTATGATTATGATGATGCCATAAAGACTTAAAAATCTAAAAGTAAAGACATTTTGCATGAAGACAAAACAGGTTCGGAAACAAAGTGCGAGGGTGAGGAAGATATTCGGGTGCGGAGTGCGGTCCCCCCTCGCTGTGTCGGATTCCTAAGAATGATGTTTCTAGATTGTGTGTACCAAGAGAAAGGATGTATCCCACTTTAGTTCCCTTCTTGAAGCAGGTTGCCAGGATACTCCTGTCCTCCTTGGCCAGGTGTCCCAGCTCTTTGGTCTCAGCAACTACTAATCCTATCATTCGTCCCTGCAATATCAACTTATTAATAAACCAGGCCGAAAAATTTTCTTCAACCCCCACCCCCCACCGAAAACAATAACTCATGAAAAGTTGCTTTTATATTACATACAGTCATAATCAGAAAGACCAGGAATTGATTGACAGTTAATCAGGTGACCTTACCCGTATTAATGTCTACCATGAACTAATATATATTTATTTATTAAACCTGTAGGGTAGCAGCAAGGGAGTAGAACCTAGGGTTGGATGTAATCTCCTGATACCAGGTATCTGGGTAGTCTATTGGAAACCAGCTCCGGCATAATATCTTTACTTGATCAATGTCTTGTGGACTTAGAAATCTAAAAAACAAATAAATAAATATTCGTGAAATGCAGAATTACGACTTGTTAAGATGATAAATATCAGACTTTCCATTGTTAGGTTAAAAGTAATAGTTAGTACGCTTTCTCGAGGTTATACAGAACTTGTTTTGTTTACATTCTACAGAAAACAAATATCATTTTGTAAACAATGTGTGTCACCATGTCCTGTTCAGCAACAAAGGGCCAATTATTTACAAACACATTTATGGTTTACAACAAAACTAGTCCAAAGCTATCCTACATTTGCAGGAGATTATATAAAAACAATAAAGACGACTTTCGATTTTAAATTTGATTTATATTAACCTGTTTAACAGCATGGATACACATAAACACAGAAGTCAAGAGAACCTGACAATTGAAAGCTTCTGTTTGATTACTTGTAAACTTATAGTTCGACACAAGCTTGTTAACAATCAAAACTAAAATAAAAAAGTAGTCTTCATTGCATTGATATAATCGCCTACCACTGTAATATATGTCATTGTAAAAGGTGAAGAACTCTATCTCCCCGCTCCTCTCCATGCTCTACCTGAGCTGTAGCTCCAAGCTGTTGATAAGAGGTACCCTGTGCTCCATCTGTTTCATGAGAGGTATCCGTTCTAAACACTGTATCTCAGATGATCTCCTTCCTTCTCCGCTCCAACTACAAACACCAAAAATAATCTTCTTATCAACTTTATTAGAAATATGTAAAAAATGTCCTAGTAGGACGTATTTCATTAATCACACATGTTTAAAAAAATCTAATTACCTGTGCTTTACTGGAGCGGTTTTACTCCAATATACAGACATTACGAAGAACTAGAAACAAACATGATCTCTTTCATTCATCCTACAATCCTCGAGTAGAACTTGTTTATTCTTACGTTCAGTAAATATCATAAGTGAGACCATACACCATTTTACACAGTTCAAGAATTATTCCTGGGTTATCCGTTTGTTTTGTTTGGGTTAAAACAGAATCAGCTGCTTCGTGGCTACCGCTAGTGCCTCCTTGACTGCTGTTTAGTGTTTGTCAATCTGAGAGAAAATATTGAACGCGGCAAGCGAACAAGATTCATATTTCTCCGGGTAGTGTCGACACCACAGGCCTAGGTTACACTCAGGCATTTCGGACAATACAATTCTTGTACACGTCTTTCTGTGATACTTGGAACGTTTATAGTTTTCATTTAAGTTAACAGTACTTGTTTTTCCATTTTATAAATATCTATATTTTGTCTCAAAATGTATGTACAGGGTGTCCCCACATCATATTAGATCATGTATAGCTCAAAATTGAGATTTTAGGGACTAATCAGAAAATTTAAAAACAATGAATCATTTTTAAAAAACATAAAAGGTTTTTATAAAAATTTTCTTACTAAGAACCCTAGGTTTCTCGAGTAATCTGTGCGTATTTTGGCGTAAAGGCTTGGAGATTATCTAATATGATATGGGACGCTCTGTATCATATGTGCATTTTTTGTAATTTGCATATTAGGAAATATTAGTTCCAATACTATCACTTGGTCCATTTCTAACACTCAATATCCCCTGCAGGCTGCATTTGTAATACATAATATAAGTTGTCTATCTCTGAAGTTATCATGTAAAAGCGATTAAGTAATATACAAACTATGAGATGAATCTTAATGTAGTTTCCACTAGAACATTTCCATTTCATAAATGAACAATTTTCTTCAATAAAAAATGTATTATTTTGTATATAGAATCAATTTCTCTTTATTTCAGATCTATGAAGTGAAAGAAAATGAACTGGCCATCTCTTACCACGGTATTATCCGTCCTATTCCTAGGATACATGGCTAATAGTCTATGGAGTATAGCTTCTCTCTATATTCCTCCGTCCTGTCCTGCCGGAGAGAAGAAATGTATTTCCAGTATTCTCACTGAATCCTCGGAACTATCTCTTATCATCTTTACAACAACTAAAGTAAGACCCTCGATGGGAAAGGATTTAAGCTTCTTGGAGAGCTTAGACGTTAAAGTAAGCGAGGAGAAACAAAAAACTGTTAATGTTAAGTTCCCTAAATCTGTAATAAACAATGGAACCATGTACATGTGTATCTTTGCTGTTCCAAAGCTAGGGAAGGTTGACAAGAGTAAATCTGACTGGTGGGAGAAGGAAATATACAACCCTGAGACGAGCTTTACTCAAACCAGGCTTACTCAGTACTCTATTCCAGTAGCGGAGACCTTTAACCTACTGGGAGAAGAAAATAAGAAAGAAGATTCTAAACCCACAGATAGATCTCGACCAGTGTCACATTTAAGATCCAAGATTGTGATAACAGTGATGTCGGATCAGGTTGTTATGGGTCCTGGCCAGGTACCTGGAGAAATAGGTCACACTATGAGCCTAACAAAAGACCGGAAGAAGTATCTACCAATCCTCTTTGTGGATGAGCTCACAATGCGTCTAAGAGACCTTAGGGTAGTCAACGCAACCGATACAAACTCAGATATAGAAATCATCTACAAGCCCATATCATTCGGGAAACTTAGATTGTTCCTCCAGTTCTCCGGAGCCCTAGGTTCTATGCACGGAATGGGGTTTACAGATAAAGATACGGACGAAGTAAAAGGAATATTTGCTGATACTAATCTGGTTCTGCTCCTTATTACTTTCGCAGTCTCAGCGGTTCATCTTCTCTTTGATTTCCTCGCGTTCAAGAGCGATGTTAGCTTTTGGCGAGAGAAGAAAACTGTTGAAGGATTAAGCAGGAAAACTATTCTATGGAGAGCGTTCAGTCAAACCGTTATTTTCTTCTATTTGATGGACGAGGAAACTTCTCTGCTAGTTCTTATACCAGGTGAACATTGAATGTTTTATACACATTTCATGTCAATCAAAATTAGGTGTTATTTGATGGGCCTAATTTTCATTTGATACCATCTTAGTTGCTTCTATTATTATTTAATGCTATTTATTTCTAGCTGGAGTTGGAGCCCTGATAGAGATCTGGAAAGTAACAAAAGCTTTACATATTGAGTTCTCCTTCCGAAGTGGATTTACCTATGGTTCGGATACGGCAGGCGAAGCAAACACAGCACAACTGGATCAAACTGCGATGAAGTATCTAAGCTGGGTTCTCTACCCTCTTTGTTTAGGTTTGAAAATAAAAATTTTAACATTTGCAAAAAAATGTTTTCATCCATTTAAAAAATTTACATTTTGGGCTTTTAAAGCGGCTCGCATCCTTCGAAAAATTAAGTTTTACAACTTTTGTTGTTTGTTCTGATTCCAAATCAGAAGATATACCCCTGAACAGTTGCTAAAATGATTCATTAATGTACCATTGTTTCTATCTTTCAGGCCTATATAATCTTTCAGACCAAAAATTTTACATAATTTTTAAAAAGTTCACTTCTTACGAATAAGATTTCAAGTTCTGAAGAACTCGTCGATTTTTGTGGAGCAACGTGAAGCAACTATTCTGAAATGTTGACACACTACACACAGACCTTTTTTATTTATTTATTTAAACTAGTTGTTATTTACAGGAGGTGCCGTGTACAGTTTGATCTACACCCCGCACAAGTCCTGGTACAGCTGGACAATACAGACCACGGTTAACGGTGTTTACGCGTTCGGATTCCTCTTCATGCTTCCTCAACTTTTCCTCAATTATAAACTCAAATCCGTGGCTCATCTACCCTGGTAATTATTGTTTAAAAAATATTTTTAAAATTAAATTTTTAATTTAGCCCTGTAAGCTGATGAAATATTCACATTCAGGCGTGCATTTATGTACAAAGCGTTTAACACGTTTATCGACGATCTCTTTGCGTTTATCATCACAATGCCGACCGCACACAGGGTTGCATGCTTCAGGTCAGATTCAAAATAGATGAATATTTTTATATTTACTTGATATTATCAATCTTATCCCATTACTGTTAATAAACTTAAATTAAGATATTTTTCCTTTTTTCAGAGACGACATCGTGTTTTTAATCTATCTTTACCAGCGATATCTGTACCCTGTAGATCCAACTAGGATAGATACCAGGTACATAAATTTTCAACAGCTTCACGTAAAAAAGGGAGAGGTTAGAGGTGTTATTTTCTCGATAAATCATTTTTCTCCCCCCCCCCTTTTTTTCAAATCATTTTATTCTCAAGAAATAATATATAGAAACCAATAAATGTTTGGGTATTAAGAACCAAAAAGATTAAAAAATTGCCTTTTGATGTCCAATCTTTCATTTTTCCCCCCCAAATCAGGAAAAATCATTTCACTAGAGGGGGGGGGGTGAAAGGAAAAGTTTATAATTTCCTTCTTACACATTCGGATTGAGATGGAAATCGGGGAAAAAAAATCAGACCGATATAAAATATGAATCAGAATAAGAGACCTATGTAATGATGATGTATCTTTCGACCTACGCAAATCCGCTTTACTCCACTTCTGACCTACGCGTACGCCAAATCCACTGTACTACACATCCGACCTACTAGCACGTGGTTTTACAGCTGCTAGATGGACTTGTGGCAGCAGCGCCCGGCCCCCTTAGCCTGTCCTTGCCGCGGCACTCGGCCCCCTAGCCGCAGCGCTCGGCCCAGAAATTGTCTGAACCTAACCTAATGCTCAAATAATACAAAAATAAACAGCAGACGTAGGTTCGATATTGCAGTAGACCGGAAAGTTAGTAGTTTTAGAATTTCAGTAGGGGGATGTTGCGTATAGACGATGTAACATTACCTTCTGTAAGACCTAAAATATTAACACTAACTAGACCAATCAAATTTTATTGTTTTATTAAATAATTGTTAATAAATTATTATTCTAGTGTAATGATGGACGAAGCTCCCGCTGAAAAGATCGGAGTCAAGCAGAAGGATGATTAGTAAGTGGATCCTAAGAGCTTAAGTCCTTGGTCGGGAGACTAAGCTTTGCATTTGGTTAAAAAGAAATCCACAAACAATTCAATTCTATTCAAATTATAAAAATAAACCTAATAGTAATAACAAACAAAAGAATTTGGTTGATCGGATCTCAAGTTTTACCGCTCCCCATTAATCTTTAAAATGTTTTATTTTCATTACATTCCGAACAAAATCAATGATTGTGAACGCCATTGTAATTTAGAAGATATAATGAAGTAAAGATAATATAATATATGTATCCTTCAATTTGTAAAGAACAAAAACAAAAAGGAAGTAAATTGGAGAAAATCTCTATTCATCCAAGGATTAAAATTAACAATTATGTAATTACAAAATCACTATTTTTAAGACAATTGTAAATACTGTTCAACCCCTTCGTTCAAATTGCAAGGCATGTAAAGCAATGTAAGCAATGGCGTATTTAAACCCGAATTAGACATTTATGTTTCCAGTACAAAATATGAATAAATGTAGAGTTGTACCAAGAATTCTGTTTTCAATCTAGATTCACATTTTGTTGAAGCATTTTTTTTATTTTTGTTTGATTTTTAATTATTTTCAGATTTTAAGTTTTTAGAATGAACTTCATGATTTTCATTAATTCAAATTTTTACTGCCTGTAATTCATGAGAATTTGAGAAAAAAAGGAAATATTTTAGTTGTTATATCTTAGATAAAATGATTTTTCCCGTTATATCTCGCATTCTTTTACAACGAAATCAATATATTCCTGTTTTTAGAAATATATTTGCATCCATAAATTTTGAAGTAAATAACAGATTTATTAGTACGCCGACTAATAAACAAATACGGACTTATATTTCTGTCCCGAACGGACTAATGGGATATATTGACCAGAAACTTTCCGGGTTCGGAGAAAATTCTCCTAATTTTCAAGTTGAGCAAGGATTAAAAAGAGCCAGAGAGGAACTTCTAAACTGTTTGGCGGACGAGGCGGAGCTGAAAGCAATGCTTGAAGAAAATATTGATCCGGAGATGAGTGAACTTGCTCGGAAAGATCTGGAGAATCTTGAAAAAAAATCAAAAAATATTATTGCTCAGCTAATAGATTTAATTGTTCCCAAACCCGAGTATGATGCGGAGAATGCTGTTTTGGAGGTGAACTTTTTATTAGATATATATGCTACAAATTTTCAACTTTACTGAAAGTAATTCTTTTCGATAAAACATGTTATAAGATTTGTCCAGTTTTATCCCAGTCATGTTCTTTTCGTCACCAGTCATTTTCTTTAAAAGCTGAAACTAAATAAAGTTGATTGTTAGTCTAAATAAAGGCAACAATTAATTCTCATAAATGTCTATATTCAAGATAAAGAGTATTATTTAAATAGTTTATGGCATTATGATTTTGTGTTAATATCTTAATTTACAGGATTGATAAATATCTTTCTTATCCAGGTTGTACCTGGAGCAGGAGGGTTGGAAGCCAGTATGTTTGCGGAGGAGATATTTAATCTATATATGGCGTATGTAAGAGAGCTAGGTTACAGTGCCGAGGTTACCGAGCTATCCCGGAGTGTTGTTGGTAAACAATCCAAGTTCTCATCCTCGACTGGAATAACGAAAGGTTCGGCTGTAATCTCCGGAGTCAATGTGTTCGGTCAGCTAAAATTCGAGTCCGGAGTTCATAGGTTTGTATTAACTCGAACCTTTAAATCATTAAAGTTACGGTAATTTGCCATTTCACGGCTACCTATGTTGGATGGGCCGACTTCTGTCTCCGATATACCGGATAAGAGCTGAAGAAACAGGGATATTTAGAGATATAGAAAGAGAAACAGGGATATTTAAAGAGATGAATGGGAACAGGGATCTATTTAGAGATATACATAGAGAAACAGGGATATTTAAAGAGATGAAAGGGAACAGAAATATTTAGAGATATAGAGAGAGAAACAGGGATATTTAAAGAGATGAAATGGAACAGGGATATTTAGAAATAAATTGAGAGAAACAGGGATATTAAAAGAGATGAAAGAGAACAGCGATCTATTTAGAGATATAGAGAGAGAAAAATGGATATTTAGAGAGATAAGAGGGAATTACAGAGATATTTAGAGATATATAGAGAGAAATAGGGATATTAAAAGAGATGAAAGGGAACAGGGATCAATTTAAAGATATAGAGAGAGAAACAGGGATATTTAGAGAGATATGAGGGAATTACAGGGATATTTAGAGATATATGGAAGGAAACAGGGATATTTAGAAATATATAGAGAGAAATAGGGATATTAAGAGATGAAAGGGAACAGGGATATTTAGAGATATAAATATTGAGAAACAGGGATATTAAAAGAGATGAAAGGGAACAGGGATATTAAGAGATATAAATATTGAGAAACAGGGATATTAAAAGAGATGAAAGGAAACAGGGATATTAAGAGATATAAATATTGAGAAACAGGGATATTAAAAGAGATGAAAGGAAACAGGGATATTTATAGATAAATAGAGAGAATGAGGGATATTTAGAGATATATAGAGGGACAAGCAGGGATTTTCAAATCATCTGTTACCCCCCATATGCCCCACCCACCACAATCGAAAGTGTATGATGTGTATGAAAGACAAAATCAGTTGTTCCCCCCCCCCCCGCCCCCTCATACTAAGCGACTCCGACCCCGCACTAAACCAGGTAGCCGTAATATGGTACTTTACCAAAGTTACTTATTATTTTTTCCTCCTTAGAAAATGTATCCTAACTATGGTAGGAAGTTACAAGTTTAAAAGGTGTTTCACTGTATTTTAGCTTTGGTGGAAAAAGTATCAAAAATAGGTTACATAAAACCTGAGACAAAGTTCTATTTCATTTTTCTTAAAAACGCCCCGGAAATGTTTTTTTTTAAAAAATAATTTTCATATTTATATCAGAGTTCAACGTGTCCCAGTAACCGGAAATAAATCTGACCGACTCCAAACCTCAACCTGCAGTGTAGCTTTCCTTCCCCAGCCCCGAGAGTTAAAGATAGAGTTGGCTGACTCCGATATTAAGTTTGAGTACATGAGATCAAGTGGAGCAGGAGGACAGAGTGTTAATACTACAGATAGTGCTTGTAGGCTCACACATTTTCCTTCAGGTTAGAACAGGAAAATTAAAAGGAATCCTGCACATGAATCTCATTGCTTCCGAAAACAGAGGGAGATAAAACACACAAATTTTGTTTTATTGTCTGTAACGAGTCAAGTCTTCAATTGCCCATTTTTGACCTGCTTTTTATAAATTTTAGTTTCGTAGTGCATTAATGCTCTTCATTGTTAATGTAGATTATTGATTATCAATTATATATTAAGTATAAATGTATAAATTATTACAATATTAGTATGTTTACTATAGATACAATATTGTTATAATTCTATCTAAAAATTATTCAAACACTTGGATTTTTCTCCTTTTCAATTCACTTCTCCAGCTTAGTTTTTAAATTAAGGAAGGCCGAAAAATCCCCCCCCTCTCTTTTTTTTCCCTTATTACACCCTTAAAAGTTTTACAAATTGAGATTTCTAATAGTTGTAACTTGTATGCAGGTGTAGTTGTGGAGTGTCAGGAAGAGAGATCTCAAATGAAGAACAAGCAGAAGGCGTTGATCAAGCTGAAGAGGATTCTCTACACCAGGGAGTTCAACGAGATCCAGGAGAAGGTCTCTAAGTCCAGAAAACTACAGATTGGAAACATGAACAGGAAAACATCATCATTGTTGTTAACTTTAATCTAAAACAGTTTTTAAGAAATCAAGTCGATCAAAGATATATAATATATCCTGAATCAAAGATATATATCCTGAATGCCACATTTTTACAGCTCAAGCCGGATTTCAAAGGATTGAAGGCTGACTTTGATTATTAATTTTATTATTATTACTAAGCAACATTGATAATCAGCTAAAAAAGCACAGTAGACGGATAATGTGTAAACCACAAAAATATTCTTCTATTTCGTGTTCGTATTCTTTGACAAATATATTTTCCCCACCGAATGATTGTTTTTGTAGAAATGAGAAGATCAGAACCTACAACTTTAACAGACATATGCTCACGGATCATAGACTTGGAGAATCTAGGGTTGTTCCCAACATTGTCTCATACCTCTCCGGAGGTTACGGGTTCAGTATTCTTACTGAGTTTAAAGAATCCCTGGAGAAACTAGATATAGGAGATAAATTTGAAGAAATTATTCGACCCTTCTCCTCCTCATAGCATTCTTCTTTGCAGAGACATGTTGGACGGGTTGGATGTGTTTGAGTGCTCCGAGGTTGGGGACAGTGTAGTTGAATATCTATCCCGAAGAGAACCTGTCTCTTCTAAACAGGTCTCTACATGGCTAAGGTTGGAATTCAATTGTATTATTATTAAAATTAACAATAAAGACAAAACTGAGATACCTCGTAAGGTCTTCTACCTTTTTTGTTTTTAATATTTTGTTTCTTGAAATTTTCTAGAACCCCGCCAAAGCTTACAGTGGTACGAGTTAATACATGGAAAACTACTTTGTCCGCTGTTCAGTGTCGGATAGAAGACCATCTTCAAAAGGTTGGTTTTCAATTTGATTTTTAAAGCACAAGAGCATTGTCAAAAAGTTAATTTTAATTAGATTGTTAGGATGCAGGAGGTCTGCATAGTGCATTGTGTATAAAGTTGGTTTCAATTTGTTGTTGAAATCGAAGAGCAGCTTAAGATCAATTTCAATATTTTTTTGTTAGAAAACAAGATTATATTCAGAAGATTAACTTCAATTTGGTTTCATAAGTTTGGTTTTTATTTGTTCGTTATGAATACAAGATTATGTTTTGAAGGTTGGTTTTAGTTCGGTTTCATAAGTTTGGTTTTTATTTAGTTGTTAAAATACAAGAGCATCTAATAAAGGTGGGTTTCAGTTTAGTTTCATATTTTTGATTTTTATTTGGTTGTTAAAATGCTAGAGCATCTTAAGAAAATTAGTTTCAATTTGGTTGTCAGAATATAAGAGGATTTTTACCAGGTTGGTTTTAATTTGGTTATTAGGATAGAAGATCATAATTAGAAAGTTGATATAATTTGGTTATTAGGATACAAGATCATAATCAAGAGGATGGATTTAATTTGATTTGTTAGATTAGAATAAAAGAGCATAAGGATGGATTTATTTTGGTCGTTAGAATACCAAAATCTTCCTTACTGGATTTTGGTTGTGAGAATACAAGAGCATTTTCAGAATGTTTTTTTATATTGGTTTAAATACATGAGAATGTAGATGCCAAAAAATTATGGGATGACTTTAGTTTTGTTTTTTTGGAAAACAGAGAATTCACAAAAAAACATGTTTAAACTTTCCTAATCATACTTATTTTACGTAAGTTTACCATTTCCGAATCTAATAAACATACATTAGAGCGTTATTTAGACAGGTCAAAAGTGTTCAGTTTCACGATTTGGAGATTCCAACGAGGTTTTACTGCTTCAGTGTTCGGAGGAGAACAAAGGACAGGTGATTAACATTTTTTCTTGAATTTTATCGATTCATTAGAACCAGCAAGATGGTAAATCAATTATTGAAATATAATTTTTCTAAGAAATTTGAAATAAAATGTCAAAACTAATGAAACTTTCAACTTTTGCAATTATTATTTAAGATTTTTGTTAGCTTTATCTTATCTTATCTGTCTAAACTCTTCAACTTTAAGAATAAGATAATTTACTGTGATGCATGCTAGATTGAACCTGGAGAAGAAGAGGTAGTGGTTGATCAACAGTGTGGACTAGCTGTGCTCAGGGGTGCAGATCTATTTACCCCTGGGATACTGACATTGAGTTATGCCGCACAAAAGTCCTCACAGGTCAGTTGGTAAATGACCGGCCGGGGAGAGGGGGGGAATTTGTTATTTTTCCTCGAAAATTCGTTCAAATTCTTTAGTGCTCAATGCTACTGTTCAGGGTTCATTTATTTTGACGTGGATTCTGATCGCTGGCTAAAAAATAGGCCTAGAATTACACAAATTAGATCTAAATGCTTAACATTTTATTTTTAACTGAAGCTTAACTGAACATTTTGGCAAGAAAAGAAGTGCTGCACAGAACCATGAAATTTAGAAAGAGAAACAAGTGAGAACAAAATTCTGTACATAAAACGGACTAACTGATTTAAAGAGGGGAGGGGGGTAACATAATTATTTTTCGTGTCTCACTTAATCTTTTAGGTTTCTGTATGGGCTGATCTCGAGCATAAATGTACTCAAGGATCTAGTAAAAAGTATGATGGAAAGAAGGTGTTTGTCGGGAATGGAATTCTTCAAGTTAGTAGAGATGAAGTGTTTAAAGAGAATCAAAGAGGGATTGGAGTTCTCATCAATCAAAGGAAATGCTAGTTAAAACTTTGATCAGAAATTGACCACATGATAATCACTGAGAAATGCAAAGATACGAAAAAGTTGAGAAAGTGTTTTACGGTTTTTGGATCATTATTTTTATGAAAAATATATAAATAAAGAATATTTCCCTCAGAACTTTGCATCAAGAAAGATGTCCTTAAAGACTTTTAAATCTTTACCAGATTCGTTTTAAAAAAAACAATTTTTGATTATCCTTAACACTTGAAATTACAATTTCTTAAAATTTCATATTGGCGATACTGGGTTTTGTAAAGCAGAAACTGAAATTTTTTTACTTTAAATCTGTCTAGTGTTAATCTAGGATTGTGTTAAGAGTATTTAACTGCCCTAGCCTGGATGAATCAAAGTTTAACGGAGAAATCTATCTACAAAACCTTCCCTCTATACTAGCTGTAGAGCTACTAAACCCTGAACCTGGAGAAAGAATTCTAGATATGTGTGCGGCTCCGGGGGGTAAAACATTACACATCGCCACAAGGTTGGTTGCAACTCAAGATTAATCCAAGTGGGTTTGTTTACATTTTCTGTGACGTATTAGGACAGGTCAGGCGATAGTAATATTGTAAATAAAAACAAAATTTGTAATAAAGGCAAGGAAGGAGGGTTGGATCTGAGCTGAAAACTTTAGAATGGTGGATAACAGGATTACCGCTTAATCCACTCTTTTTCTTAATCTGCAGATTAAATATTGCTTGTTCTCCACTCATTTTTAATCTCCAGATTAATTATCCGATCAGGATTAAGGATATCCCATTCAATAGTTCCCATCTCTGGATATTTACTGTTCTTAGATTACAAAACATCTAGTTCCAGAGCTGTTCTACATGTCATTGATATCTTCGAATTTCCATTCCAAATAGAAACACTAGGATGGCCATTTTAGGTATTAATGTCTGGTATTCAAAAGTCACGAAGTCAGCACTTAATCCTGAAACAATTGAGTTTAATAAGTTAAATTAATAAGGTTTTATGATATCGATGCTGGATCAGATGTTTCGTGGAACAATCAGAGCTGAAAACTTTAGAATGAAATATCCAGATATCCCGTCGGATAATTAATCTCAAGATTAAAGTCATGAGGTAAACAAGCAATATTTTATCTCGGAATTAAGAAAAAGAGTGGATTAAGCCTTAGTCCTGATATCCACCATTCTAAAGTTTTCAGCTCTGATGAACAATCTCAGATGAACGATGGCTGGGAGACCTATGCCCCTAATACTACAGAAGAAATTCTGCGCCTATACTTTTTTTCGAAATTTATAATCAAAAAAACAAATTGAAAATTTATCACTGACTAATTCATTTCTGGTTTAAAATATACAGTTTCATATCCTTCTTAATTCTTGTTGTGTATAGGTCAAGTTGAGACAATATATCTATAACTATCTGATCTGTTTAAAACTATTTCTCGTTCATCGTAATTATGAGATATAAGATAAAAGGCTGTGGATTGGGTTCAAGAATTACTTTGACAATCCCATCTAGTGAATCTAGAGGACGAGGATTAAGACAAAGTAAAATCAATTCGGAAATTCTATTCAGGATGAAGGATTCAGGAGAAATTATTGCTTTTGATAAATCATTAAAGAAGATAAATCAAATCTTGATGAACGCAGAGAAACACGGGTTCAGTAATATCAAGGCCTTCGTGCAGAACGGAATTCAGGTGAGAGATAAATGGAGAAAAAAAATTTAATTCGATTTTATTTCTAATTTAGAATTGTTTTTAGAGTATAAAAGATGCTACAAGCCGGAAAGAAGAACTGAATGAAAATGAAAATCTAAAACTTGAACTTGATCCTTCTGAATCTCCTCCTTATCATCCGGAAACCTTTGACAGAGTTCTGCTGGATGCTCCATGCAGTGCATTGGGTCAGCGCCCTCAGTTTTTCAACAAGATCAGATTAAAGGAGTTCAAGTCCTTCTCTAAAGTTCAAAAGAAACTGGTCAGCTCCGCTGTATCTCATCTGAAACCTGGTGGAGTTCTCGTTTACTCCACCTGTACTCTGGCACAGGAGGAGAACGAGGGTCTTGTAGAGTGGGCGGAGCAAACCTTTTCTCAGATTAAACCCGTCATAATAGATTTAGAAAATAACAAAAACTATTTAAGGTTTGGACATCCAAATAACGACCAACCCGTGCATAATGATACAATTGGATTTTTTATTGCTAAATTTATGAAAATATTGTGATCTTTTAATAAAAGTTTTAATAATTTCATTGTTTCTCTTTTTCATATTTATTTGTTTCATTTGGTTTTAATGATTAGCGTTGTATTAGTATTTCTAGTTAAGTACATAAGTAATTTTGCTTTCGATTAAGTCGAGGATACATCGGATACATTATCGAATGTATTGAGTCGCTCTAACTTCTTCGAAAGGATAATGAAGATACCTTGACGGGTATGCGTGTTAGAGCTGTCACCTAGGGGGAAGGGGGTGGGGGTAATTGGGATATGCGTGTTTGTTAAAGCTGTCACCTGGGAGGAAGGGGGCCGGAGTAGTTGTATACAGAGCGTCCCATATATCATTATCTCCAATCTTTAACACCTAAATACGCACATAATACTCTAAAAATCTAGCATTTTCTGTCAAAAAAAAAATTCTATTAACCTTATTAAATTTTTCAAAATTATTCATTCTTAAATTTTCTGATTCGTCCCCCAAATACTAATTTAGACCCATTGACGCGGTGTAATTTGATGTGGGACATCCTGTACTATGTAAAATTAAATGCTTCACTATTATGCGTTCTTTAACAGTCATTGATGTAATTACGATCTTAGTTTATGCTGAACTGAACTAATTTCCGAAGCCTTACACTAGTTGATTCTTTCAACTACCCTGCTTCCATTTGCTGCCAGGGCATCTGTGTGTATGCACATTCAAAATTGTGTTGCGTTTTCTGCAACTGGCGTTCTAAAGCCAGCAATTACGATCTTAGTTTATGCTGAACTGAACTAATTTCCGAAGCCTTACACTAGTTGATTCTTGAGAGTTAAAAAATTATTCCTTAAAAAATTAAATCCCTGTCAACTCGTAGATCAATCCTTATGTTGTTAATCAAACGCTACCCGATATCTCGACCTTATAAAGACGACAACCCGAATATTTTCTTTCGCGCAAATGCCGCGTTGATTCGTGATTTAATAATTTTTGTTGTATTCGTAAACTTGATTTTCAATTACAGAAAGAAAAAGATTTAAGACTCCAGTAATAATGTGTATAGAAATAAACGTTTATCAATCAATCAATACAGAAAGAAAGATTCAAAGAATATACTCACAATGAACTAAAATATAAATTTTAAAGAAGGGTCCGTCCTAATTTTTTGACCCCCATCCTATACATTTTGTACATGACCACTTAATTTTAGTAAAATTATTATTATTTTTTATCATATTCGGGTTAGGTTAGGTTAAGACAATTTCTGGGCCAAGTGCTGCGGTTAGGACAGGATAGGGAGCCGAGCGCCGCGTCTAGGACAGACTAGGGGGCCGAGCGCCACGTCTAGGACAGGCTAGGGGGCCGGGCTTTAAAGCTCCCTCAGTAGATTTATCAGATTTGGTATTGATAACAAAACTGGTTTATACATGATCAACATAACTACTCTATAAAGTATCTGTAAGTTAAATAATCAATCATGCAGCCTTTCGATGAGATTTGAATAGGAAAAAAAAACGAATGTAGAAGTTAATATCTAACATATAAAACTGTGTGGTTACGATGCAGAACACTAGGGGGCTCAAAAGAATAATCACTGGGAGTGCAGTCTAGCTTCTAGATACAGTTAATCTAGGACAATCTAATACTTCATGAACAAGAGCACTGCAAATCAGTGGCTTTGTTAAACACTGTCTGGAGAGTAGCAGCCTAAGATCTTCTGTAACAAAAATTTGTATACAATACAAAACGACAAGATCTTTTCTGGTCCACTTAAATCCATACTTCAGCAGTGAATCTATCTAACAGGCTGTCAGAGATGAACCTGAGGAACAGTCTGTTTGTCTATGTCTACAGGAGGATTAAGTACAAAGAACACAAGGTCACTTTTACTTAGTCCCTTTCCCCTAATTCAATATAGCGGTAAGACAACCAAACAGAAACTTATTTATCAGGCAGGGACTTTCCCTTAGGATATCCCTAGATATGACGTTAATCTTAGGAGGTTGGAATTCAGACTATTCTTTAGCAAGTACAAAGATTTCAATTCCCATCCTGTCTTCTAATATTTCTTCTAATTTGCCAACCTGTACCCTATTATTCTAATAATCATCAGTATTCTGAGATTTTGAGATCAGTTATGGTGGTAGATTTAGCTCTCAAGTCTCTCAATGCTATTGAATAGTTCAGTAAATGTTAAAATAGTCCCTTTTTCATTTTCATTTAGTTCTGAGGTCTCAGTAAAGGAACTTGGCTCAAGAGTCAAGATCTTAAATGTCCTTTAATTGAAGACCTATAAATTCTTCACTTAGATTCAGCTATCTGACGTAAATTGCAGTAATGCGCATGGTTAAGGAGTAACAAAGTTCAAAGCATATTCTTTTCAAGCTAGGATATGACGAAACAGAGCACCTTAATAAAAGATCATCAATGACTGTAAACAATGAATGATACTTAATCATAAATTGATCAATCCAATCTTCTTCTTTAGTAAATTGTGATCCAAATAGTTTAACTTGATACAGGGCATCATTATAATCCTGTTCAATGTTTTCAAGTGGTTTAAACCCACAAAATGGAGGATTTAATTCGCAAGAGATCTTAGTACAGCTTGCTAAGACTATCTCTGTTCATCATTTAGTTAATTTAGTCTTAAGCCTTCTAATAATCAGAATTTATGTTCTTCCAAAGGAACAATCAATGTTCTTAGTCATTCCTTTGAAGTTTTTGTTATCAATGTGGCACATTGAAGGATAATAGCTTACCGAGGTTTCATTGTTGGTTTGGATTTTCGGACCAATGACTCTAATTCTCTGTTAAGTTGTTTGATACCAAAGATCAATAAAAATATTAAATGGGAGTCATGTTTTATTAAACTTTTTTCATAGTAAAAGATAATGAAGCAAAAGATTTTTTTGACTAAAAATAACGATTTGATAAATGTCATGTTTCGTGGGGCGCCCTGTACTTTAAAAAAAAATATATTAATATTAATAATACTATTTTGTATTATTTTAGGGTTAGATTACAAAAAATCCTAAATTAGTAAATTACCATATAATGAGTAATTTTCTAGGGAACGATTTTGTACATAGATCTCATATGTAACACATGGATATAATTGGTCATTTGGCCACAGCGCCTGACCTCCTAGCTCATCCTTATCATCCG